ACGTAGCTATATTTCATTTTCCTGCAGTTATTCACCAAAAATTGTATCTGAATCATTCACTTTTTACTGGAATTTGGAAAGCTTATTTGTTATGTACTGAAGTTCTCACCCTGGGCCAGCAGGGGGATACTGTAGATAGTTATGCAAATGAAGGATCGAAAGTGACGTTCAGTGATTGGATAGTTTGTAGGCAAATGAAGGATCGAAAGTGACGTTCAGTGATTGGCTAGTTACAGAAAATGGTTACTGTTGCATTCTAGTGGAGCTCTATATAAGCAGGCTGACTGAGCTCCTCAGTTCAGTTCTGCTCCAACTTACAAATAAAGAGCTGCTTTGGAAGAATCGCTGTGTCGTCTGATATGTTCGCCCACAACTTAACATTATTCATCTATAATCTGAGTAAGCACTCCTGATTTTTGTCAATGGCTATAGAAGGAGGAGTGTTTTCACAACTCTGCAGATCCAAATGTGGACTATGTTTCCTTGTGGAAACAGAAATAAGTAAAAATCTTTCCTTGTTAGTTTCAGAGATGTCAACAATGTGGAAGAAAAGGGTGGGGAGACAGTTTCTGAATATTTATACTAAATATAAATCTTCATTGAAAAGGATGTTTAAAATAACTTGTAAAAACAAAACAAAACCAGAAGCTTTTGGGGGGGAATTATAGGGGCAGAACTACCGAAACTGTATAGAAACTTCTTCATGTATGCGACTACAGCGGCAAGAATGTTACTTGCCCCAAAATGGAAAGAAGCAGAAGTCCCACAAAGGAACAATGGATACAAAAAGTTATGGAATATGCAGAAATGGCAAAACTTACCAGAAGAATAAGAAATTAAGACAACAAACATTTTATAAAAGAATGGAAATGGTTTATTGAATGTTTAGAGATAAATTGTAAACAGATATGAACATTGGCAGGATAATAACCTGCAGTTTCATAAGAGTATATATTTAAAGTAGATGAATAAATGAGCAATTTAGATATGCAGAAGATACTAAAAATAAATTTAAGGAACCGCAAAAAGAGGGGGAAGGAAGTCAAATATGGAATATGGAAATGTTAAATGACTGTAATGTATAAACCTGAAAAGCATATATATATATATATATATATATATATATATATATATATATAGAGATATATATAAAGATCTTCATATGGATTAGTGGCTAGCAGCAAATATGCTTGGGTGTAATCGTTGTGGAAAGTCTTCTGCAAAACTTCCATTGAACTGAACGGGAATCCTGAAAGCACAGGCACACCCTACTTTGCAGCCTTTCCTATAGACAGCTCTATTTGTCCCCAGGCCTTGCACACCGACAGTTTATTTTAAAATATATGAACTGCTGGAACGTTCATAAAACAGTCCATAACACCTAGGCTCCTGAGTGAGTGGCCAGCGAGGGCTCATTTCAACCAACCTGACACAAGAACTCCCGGAGCCAATAGCTTTCAAAGATTATGCCCAGCATTTTCCATTTTTGTTTCTTTTGTCTTTACGATTTAGGCAGCAAATTGGCAAAGCACTCCGTGTGTGTGTGTGTGTGTGTTTGTGTTTGTGTGTTTGGAAGATCTGTGTGCTCTGCACTTTAATTTGTTGTTGTTTTTTTAATATAATTTTTATTAGTTTTTTTTAACATATCATTTTCAACAGTAATTAAACATACTTTTACATCTTATTCAAATTTTTGACTTTGATCAATCCTGGCTGAAAATTTTCCAATCTAATCTCTCAGTATGCATTTCTTATCTTCCCTATTACATTTCAAACTCATAACCAATATCTCTATCTTTTTCTACTTTGTAACACTTCCTATTTTTCTCCTTAGAAAACTTCTTGTAGTCCTACTAGCGTAATTTGTTGATTACAGTTGCTCTTCAAATAATTCATATACTTCTTCCAATCTTCTGTAAATCTCTGGTCCCGCAGGTTTCGAATCCTTCCTGTCATTTTGTCCAATTCTGCATAGTCCATTAATTTCGTCTGCCATTCTTCTTTCGTCTGAATTTCTTCTTGTTTCCATTTCTGGGCTAACAATACCCTTGCCTCAGTTGTTGCATATAAAAACAATTTAACATCTTGCCTGTTAATGTCCTGACCTATAATACCAAGTAAAAATGCTTCTGGTTTTTTTAAGAATGTATATTTCAACATCTTTTTCATCTCATTATATATCATTTCCCAGAAATTCTTTACTTTTTTACATTCCCACCACATAAGATAAAATGTTCCTTCTTTTTTTTTACATTTCCAACACTTATTATTTGTCTTATACATTTTAGCTAATTTCACTGGTGTAATATACCATCTATACATCATTTTCATCATATTCTCTTTCAAATCATTACAGGCTGTAAATTTTATCCTTTCATTCCACAACCTTTCCTATTCTTCAAATTGTATATTATATCCAAAGTCTTTATGATTTAGGGAGCAAATTGGCAAAGCACTCCGTGTGTGTGTGCTTGTGTTTGTGTGTTTGGAAGATCTACGTGCTCTGCACTTTAATTTGATTCCTCATTTTTCTCTGCATGACCCTAGCCAATGATTTAAAGTTAACTTTGGCTGCCAGCTAGATGTTCACCAGACATCATATAGAACATCAATGCCCTGAATAATCTGGGCTCTGTGTACCTGAAGCAGCACCTCCTCCAATATGGACCCACCACACCCAGATGCCAATCTGCGTTGGCCAGTTACACAGTGACAAAAAAAGAGGACACACATTACCAAAAAGAGGAATGCCCTCCGTAAAGTAGGACACACAACCACCCTTCTGACATCACAACCCGGTTGTGGGTTGTGATTAGGTACAGGGTCTTCTCTGTTGTGGTCTCTTTTCTGTGGAACTGCTATTCAGTCTCACCAACTTGCTTCAAGGGGAGTAAGACATTCTAGAAAGGCATGTACATTCTTGATTCTCTGCTGAGAATATTTTACTTGAATTTGACTATCCCTCTCATCTTCTGCTGTGGTCTGTTCTTTACTTTTAGATGTAAATTTCCCTTTTTATGGTACTTAAATTACTATTTCCTGTACGTTGCTTTGTGCCCTAATTTTGGCTGAAAAGCAAGCTAAAAATCAGTAGTAAATGGTTATACAAGACTGGAACATGCCTATCATTATGACAGGCCTCTCCCATTGTAGATATTTATGGTAAATATTCTATAGTGTTCCTAGTATTTTTTTTGCACGGATGTTTGATATTCTACATCTCCCCCTCCCCTTGCATCTGAAAGTTTTTCAACAATTGACAGTATCTGACACCTGGCATGCAATCACTGGCATTATTTTGATAGCATCTGATATGTAGTGGTCAACATATCAAGTATTAGCAAATATTAGATAAGATTTGAAAGCTGACAACATTCAGTAGCAGTCAAAATTTGACAGTATGTGATAGGTGACTTTGCAGGAAGAATTGCTGGATCTTTGTTCCAACTGGCACATTTTGCAAAATTGAGTTTTAATTCAGGTTCCACTGAGTCCAAGTGTGCCTTAAGGTAAAGGGACCCCTGACCGTTAGGTCCAGTCGCGGACGACTCTGGGGTTACAGCACTCATCTTGCTTTACTGGCCAAGGGAGCCAGAGTACAGCTTCCAGGTCATGTGGCCAGCATGACTAAGCCACTTCTGGCGAACCAGAGCAGCGCACAGAAACACCGTTTACCTTCCTGCTGGAGCGGTACTGATTTATCTCCTTGCACTTTGACGTGCTTTCGAACTGCTAGGTTGGCAGGAGCAGGGACCAAGCAATGGGAGCTCACCCCGTTGTGGGGATTCAAACCACCAACCTTCTGATCGGCAAGCCCTAGGCTCTGTGGTTTAGACCACAGCGCCACCCACTAAGTGTGCCTTAGTTCGGAGCAAAAATGGCTAGGATCGGGCTCCAAACCTTCTTCCCAACCCCTGGATAACTCAAGTCAGTAATTTTCTGCATAGCCCCTCCCCTCATTTGCATACCCTTATCCTGGTTCTGTTTCTTCATCATGCTAGAATGCGATGGAGCATTAGGAAGTTATTATCTCTAAATATAGATCTATATGATGATATGGGCTAAACTGATGCCAGAATAAAACAAAGGCCTTAGAAATAAACAAAAACTGTACTCCATTTCAACTAAGTATAAGAAGAAAGCTCCTATCAGCAATTTCTGCCACAGTTGGTTAGAAGACTTTTCAAGGAATGCTTGCCAGGAAAAGCACACAGGTGAAAAAGCTGGAACACATGTGTTTTCTGACTGTCATTTGACCCATGTTCAGGCATGTAAATCTTCCTTTATTCCCATCCTGCATAATCCTTGGATAAAACTGAAGGCATCAAACGGAAACAACAGCCAGAACTATGTACCACTGACAGTGTGCAGATCTCAAGTCTTCTTTCCTGGCTTTCATTGTACTTTGCACTGAGCGAGGAGTGAAATAAAACAGCCGCACTGAAGTGTGTGAACCCTCAAGTACAACAGAATGATGTGTCCCAGTGAAAAAAACAGGAAAAGATGAAACAGAAGGAAGATTAGCATTGAAGCCCATTTGGCCTGAGACAACCCAGCCATATTGCTCTGTTCCTGCCAGCCCATGGGGTTGATCAGATGGGGTGAACAGCACTGAACTGAAATATTCCTGCTTTCCTCCTTACGCCTGCCTTTGGAGACTTGGATATCCACAAGGCTATTATGTTACTAATGTTTTTTTGTTGCTGTTAAAAAAAAAAAAGGCAAAGCCAAAAAAACAACCCCAGTCCCTTATGTGACGAGAAGCAGAACTTTCAGGGAGAAAAATAGCCTATGCTTTCTTTCTGATTCAAGAGAGAACATAGAGCTGGGGTGTGTGTGGTGGGAGGAATCCTAATAATTTAATCCAGTTTTCCTCCCTCAGTCTCCACATATCCATCAACTAGAAAATTAAACACATGATAGGGTTTGCTTAGCATTTTTCTTGCATAGCAAGGAGGAAACAAGCAGAACTCTTCTGTTGGAGAGTCATATGATTGCTACCCAGCAATGTCGCTCAGTTGGTAGAGCATGAGACTTTTAATCACAGGGCTGTGGGTTCAAGACCCATGTTGGGGGAAAGGACTACATTTCTATTATTCTATGGTTTTATGGTTCTGCTAGAGCTACTTTTGCGAATACAGATAAGCTACACGGTAGTTCTGTACTAGTTCGGCTGATCGCCAAAGAATTGATGCTTTTGAATTATGGTGCTGGAGGAGACTCTTGAGAGTCCCATGGACTGCAAGAAGATCCAACCTATCCATTCTGAAGGAAATCAGCCCTGAGTGCTCACTGGAAGGACAGATCCTGAAGCTGAGGCTCCAATACTTTGGCCACCTCATGAGAAGAGAAGACTCCCTGGAAAAGACCCTGATGTTGGGAAAGATGGAGGGCACAAGGAGAAGGGGACAACAGAGGACGAGATGGTTGGACAGTGTTCTCAAAGCTACCAACATGAGTTTGACTAAACTGTGAAAGGCAGTGGAAGACAGGAGTGCCTGGTGTGCTCTGGTCCATGGGGTCACAAAGAGTCGGACACGACTAAACGACTAAACAACAACAGCAGTTCTGTACTCTTGATAACAAGTTCTGCTCTGTTTGTTCTTCAGTTTGTTTCCTTGTGCCAGATTCCAGTCCTGTGCCTTCAGTCCACAAGCTGCCTTTCTGGAACCAGTGCTGAAATGGAACTCAACTTCTGATTATTATCACGGGAGATAAAACTGACACCTGCTTAGGTTCTGTGGCACTGACAATTCGACTGCTCTTATCCTAAGCCCAGAGAAGCATCTGATATCTGCTTCACAAAAGATCTCAGCTTTCTTGTTTGTTGGGCCCATTCCTTAAAGGCATATCTAATAGAGTTGTTTCATACACCAAAAATGATATCTAAATGATACAAAAACACATGGGTCTGGATTTGCAGCCCACTGACCACCTTCATTTCAAGCAGCTATTCTTTCTTTTCATCTGGACAAGCCACAGCTCAGTGATCGAGCACAGAAAAGTCCCAGACTGTGTTGTTGTTTAAAAAGCTTTTATATCTTTAAATGTAAACCATAAACCACAATCATTGACTAAAAATAAGCAAGTGTTATAATATGAACAATATAGTGGTTTTTAAAAAAATTAGCTCATAACAACATCACATAGACATTTCATTTAATGTATAAGTATATTACCATATTGGCCTGAATATAAGCCTCACCCCCCCCCCGAATTCTGACCGTGAAAAGTTAAAGTGCGGCTTAAATTTGCGACCTTACAAAAACGGGCTTTGACACTATCGCTTGATGAAACAGACATACGGAAAAACGGAATGGGTGTGAGTGTCTGTGAAATTTTAAGGGAGCGGCTTATATTCGGGTATTGACTTTTTCTCTCTCCCCCCCCCCCCCGAATTTTAAAGGTACAGCTTATATTCGGGCCAATACGGTACTGTATTGTTGAGGCCTAGGGCTGGTTCCAGATGGCATATCCTCCATAACTCGGACAGGAATTATACTGATATATATGGATAGAGCTTCTCTATGCCAGTAAGAGCTCGTTCATGCACTGGCCAAATGCACAGAGGGCTTGGCCATGGAGCAGGGGGCAGTCCATGCAGGCTCAAGTGTGCTTGTGTGAACTTTCAATGCATGCAGGATGTGGTCTGAATTCCCCAGTTCTTCGTTTCTACACTAGACCAGCTCTCATTAAACACTTCCTTCTAATAAAGACGTAAATTATAAATATGCACGTTGCTTTTTTGTTGCAACTGTTCAGACATCAATCTTCAGGAAGAAAACTGGAAACGACAACTAGAAATAGGTTTATTTTGAAATGAAGCAACTTCGTTATTTTTTTAAAAAAAAATCCCGTTGCTTGACATATCAAAACAAAGGAACTACTGTATAAGCAATGCAGTCACAATCACTGTCTGTCTCTCTCTCTCTCTCTCTCTCTCTCTCTCACACACACACACACACACACAAACAAACAAACACATAATACATACATTTCAGCAAGAAAAAACAGTAACCACAAACCAATCAAGTAAAACTGCATATATAAAGACTCTGGGGAAATCTTATAGCTAATTAACGCGCAATGCCCTCATAATAATAAAAAAATCCTCATTTTGCCTAATGTTAGTTTATTCATTCATGCTGTATTCAGCAAACTGGTCAATGTACATGCAGGGATAAGCAAACGAGTAGTTTAATGGTAATTCTGAATCAAAGGATAGCATCACTATCTTCATCCTCCAATATTAGCCTTGCACTTTAGATGAAATAGCAGTTTGTGGCTATTAGCTTAGACCTAGTTTGTTTTTATTTTAGTTGAAAGCATTTATAAACAGCTTCCCCCCAAAAAATTAGCTTAGACCTAGTTTATTTTAATTTTAGTTGAAAGCATTTATAAACAGCTTCCCCTCAAAAAAAGTTCTTGCTGGGGTGGTCTGGGCGGTGTCAATTTCAGAGTGCAGGTGTGCATTCGCTTGTTTGAATCTTCTATGCATTAAAAGCTAGGCTTTCGGAGAGAACTTGGCTAGATCCCTTCTCCCTGACCCCCAGTTTTCTGTGTGCAGGGAATGTTCAGTCATATGAGGCCCTTTGTGCAATGTGAAGCAGGGCAATCCACAAACAAGTTTATCACCTGCAAGAAAACCTGGCCCTTCCTTCCCGTTTTAAGAGATGGGCCTCTGAACATTCTGTAGCATTGTGGTACCAATTTTCCCCTGCTGCGTTCTAAGGAAGCTATCTCTCTCTCTTTCCCCCTCCCCTTTAAACTGGAAATAACCCAATTCCTCAGTGTCAAAAAAGCTTATTTATGTATGCAACAACAGCGGCCCGTGTTTTGTTAGCCCAAAAATGGAAAATGAGGGAGGTCCCAGACAAAGAGGATTGGCAACTTAAGATGTTAGAATGTGAAGAACTGGCAGGTTCAACACATAGAGTAAGAGAGCAATAACATATAGTCAAAGAAGAGTGGAAAACGTTTATTAAATACCGTATTTTTCACTCTATAGGACACACTTTTCCCCCTCCAAAAATTAAGGGGAAATGTGTGTGCGTCCTGTGGAGTGAATGCAGGCTCCTTGGCTTCAGCGATAGCAACGTGAAGCCTCCGAAGCACAGAGGGAGCACTCCCTCCGCGCTCCGGAGGCTTCGTGTTGCTTTCGCTGAAGCCTGGAGAGCGAGAGGGGTCTTCAGGGATGGCCGGCCGCCTGAAGCCTTCGGAGCGCAGTGTGAGTTCCCGCTGCGCTCCGAAGGCTTCGGGTTCAGCAAAAGGAACCAAAGCCTGCGGAGCGCAGCGGGTACTCTCGCTGCGCTCTGAAGGCTTCAGGGATAGCACTCCAAAGGCTTCAGGTTCCTTTCGCTGAAGCTGGGAGAACAAGACTCTCCTGACTTCAGCAGAGCGGGAGAGCTGCGCAGTGCCCCTTCAGCCAAGCGGGAGGAGAAATGGAAGGGGCTCCGTTTCTCCTGCTGCTTCGCTGAAGGGGCGCTGAGCAGAGAGGGGGAGATTTTTTTCTTCTTGTTCTCCCCCTCTAAAACAAGGTGTGTCCTATGGTCCGGTGCGTCCTATAGAGCGAAAAATACGGTATATGGGAAATGACCGTACACAACTGAAAACGTTGGCGGCATTAAGATAAATTCAGCAGTGTAATTAATGTTTGGTGTAAAAATGGAAAACTGACTTGAATGGTTATAGTAAAATATGCAAGAATGGACGGTATGTAAAACAAATCACAGAAAGCGAAGAAGGGAAGGCATTGGATATCGAGTTTGTAAAATGTTTATTTCAAATTGTAAAAAAAAAATGAAGTGTGTGTGTGTGTGTGTGTGTGTGTGTGTGTGAAGCTTTATCTTGGTTGATACTCCACAACATCTTTTTCAGAGCTGCAGTGCTTCCAAATATAACAGAAGCCTTGAGAATGTGCTTATCTGGCACTGCTGTGACCCCCTCCTTTGTTCCTTGCTCCCTTCTTCCCCTGCTTCTCCAGTCTACTTAAAGCGTTCCTGCTGAAGTAATCATCCTCTCTCGTCTCTTGTAGGCGCACACCTTTACCCATCTTGAACTTGGTTTACTGCTCATCTCCCTCCTTACATCATCTGCTTGGCTGCTCTCAACCCCCACACAGAGTGTGTCGCTTCTTTAAAAAAATATAAATTTATTTATTTGGTTTTCAGATTAATGTTTTACAATTACATATCCAATGTACAACATAAAAACAAGATTCCAAAGAATCTCTGGGACTTCTCCCCTTTGTGAGTCCTATTGTTAATCATTTTTCCCTGCATCTTTTATGATCATCCAAATCTTTTACATCTCCATTATGTCCAAAACTCATCATTAAACTACAAATGTAATTCTAATCCTGCTAACAGATTTAGCTGTTTACAATGGTTTTTAAGATAAATTGTAAATTTTCCTCATTCCTTATTAAAATTTTGGTCTTCCTGATTTCTGATTCTTCCGGTCATTTTTGCCATTTTGGCATAATCCATCAACTTAATCTGCCATTCTTCTCTGGTTGGGACTTTGTCTTCTTTCCATCTCTGGGCCAATAACATCTGCACAGCCAGATAAAGAGTGTGCTGCTTCACTTTGTTCCACCCCGCTTCTCAGCATGGGACAATGCCCCCCCTCAACACACACAAACACAAACACCAGTTGGAAATTCAGCCCGGACACTGAGGTCCAGCTCTGAGGGCCTTCTGGTGGTTCCCTCCCTGTGAGAAGTGAAGTTACAGGGAACCAGGCAGAGAGCCTTCTCAGTAGTGGCACCCACGCTGTGAAATGCCCTCCCATCAGGTGTCAAGGAAATAAACAACTATCTGACTTTTAGAAGACATCTGAAGGCAACCCTGTTTAGGGAAGTTTTTAATGTTTGGTGTTTTATTGTGTTTTTAATTCTGTTGGGAGCCGCCCAACAGATGGGCGGGGTATAAATAATAAATTATTATTATTATTATTATTATTATTATTATTATTATTATTTCCTCATGTCAGCAATGTGAAAGGATCCCACAGCCGGATAAAGAATGGAGACAGTGAGAAATTCATTGCGCTCATCCGTTAGCCAGAGATGACAATACCCTGAACTCAAGGGGCTGTCGTACGTGTCCATCACGTGATATCTCTACGTAATCATTGTACCTTAAAAATAAGGAGCTGAATGTGAGAACTAACCCTGTTGAAGTGTGTTGCAGTTAAGGTGCTTTCAGACACCTCTGTATGATGGATTCATCCTGATTTGCTTATGGGGAGGTTAGATGACATTGCATCAGAGCAAATATCCCACAAAAAGCCTACCTTTTTGGAAGTAGACTTGTTGTACAAGAACTCCCAGTCAACTATGGCGCCATCTGTCCTCCACATTCAAAGCAGAACTGTACCACTTTTTAAACAATTGTGACTTTCCCCAAAGAATCCTGGGAAATGTTGTTTGTTAAGGGTGCTAGGAGGTGCCTTTTCCCCTCGCAGAGTTACAGTTCACAGAGTTCCATGGGAAAAAGAGGGTTGGCTGTTAAACCACTGTGAGAATTCTAGCTCTGTGAGGGAAATAAAGGTCTCCTAGCAACTCAGCACCTTCAACAAACTACCCTTCCCAGGTTTATTTGAGGTAAGCCGTGACTGTTTCAAGTGGTGTATTGTTTTAAGTGTCTAACAAATTCATTTAATTTTTCCCCCACCTCCAAATCCCTTAATTTCCTGTCTGTAAAACTGAGGCAGTCTTTCTGCAAATATTCAAATATGTGCAAATGCTGATTGTTTAACTTTTAAAGCCCTAAATGGCTTCAGTGCTGTATACCTGAAGGAGCATCTCTACCCACATCATTCAACCCAGAAACTGAGGCTCTGAGGGCCTTCTGGTGGTTCCCTCATTGTGAGAAGTGAAATATAGGGAACCAGGCAGAGGGCCTTCTCAGTAGTGGCACCCACCCTGTGGAATGCCCTCCTGTCAGATGTCAAAGAGATAAATAATTATATGATCTTCTGTAGACATCTGAAGGCAGCCCTGTATCAGGAAGCTTTTAATATGTGATCTTCTCTTGAGTTTTTGTATATTGTGTTGGAAGCCGCCCAGAGTGGATGTTGCAACCCAGTCAGATGGGCGGGGTACAAATTATCATTATCATTAGTTTCATTAGTATATTATATCATACTTCAATATTAGATATTTGTCTGTTGATATGTGACAATAATAACTGACCTGTAGATTATAACAATTAAAATGCTCATTTCTCCACATTTTCATAACAGTTTGTGATACATCTTTTAAAAGGTCTGTGTGAAAATTCGTCTGCCTTTTAGTGCAAATTTATCTGCGTAGGCCAGGGGTCAGCAAACATTTTCAGCAGGGGGTTGGTCCACTGTCCCTCAGACCTTGTGGGGGGTCGGACTATATTTTGGAAAAAAAAATATGAACGAATTCCTATGCCGCACAAATAACCCAGAGATGCATTTTAAATAAAAGCACACATTCTACCCATGTAAAAACACCAGGCAGGGCCCACAAATAACCCAGAGATGCATTTTTTAAAAAAGGACACATTTACTTGTGTAAAAACACACTGATTCCCGGACCGTCCGTGGGCTGGATTTAGAAGGCAATTGGGCTGGATACAGCCCCCGGGCCTTAGTTTGTCTACCCATGGCGTAGGCACATTGTAGTCTGCAATTTCCCTTCCTATGTACATTTTTGCAAAGCCATTTCCCTGAATGTAATGCATCCTTGTGTTATTTTCACTAATATATGCATTCATCCTGGTATATACCTCTTTGTACACATTGTTTGGCAGGAGAACTGCACTGCAAAATTCAGAGAAACGTGAATTTCAAAGGACGGCTGTGTTTCGGTCTGTGTAATATTTCAGAAAGTGAAAATTTGATAAGTTCACATTTAAATGTGAACGTAATTGAGTTTCTCTCCCAATCCTACTCAAAAGTAAGTCCCTCCAAATAGAAGACGCCTTCATCCCGGTATGGTTCCCCTTTATCACATATATAACAGCCCAACAAGAGAAGAACAAGAATCCGCCAACAGCAGACAAATCAATCTGGCTAACCTGATCCAAAAAAACACACACACATACCCCACTCACACACAAAAACAAATCTCACTACAGCCAACCAAAGACAACCAACCACACCCTACACCACTCCCAACCTCTCTCACCACCAAGGAAATACAACAAGCGAATATTAAGAGAACCCACACGTGACAATGACACAAAACCCCACACATACACTAAGCAGAAGAGGAATATTGCCACTCGACAACATTCACCATTCCCCCCTTCCCATCTTTCCCCTTCTTTTCTTCCTAACCTAACACTGTATGCAACATTAATGTCTCACAACAAATGAAACTGATCTGTAGAAAACACAACTTGAAAAAAGAGACAATGCATGTATTTTTGTAAACTAAGAAATCTTTACTAAAATATATATTTTAGAAAATTAAGTCCCTCTGAATTCAACAGGACTTGCCTTCCTAGGACATATGCTTGGGACTGCAGCGAATGACATGAACGGTGCGCATCTGAGAGAGCTTTGTAACTGTGGCTCTGCTTTGCCTAGGGCTGCCTCTGAGCAATTTACGTTTACTTCTTCCCAGCGTTTATTTGGAACGGTCTCTTTTGTTACAGCCCTCCCCTTCTTGGAGTGACTCCGCTTTAAATCTCATTCACAGTCCTCCTTCAGTGGGTTGTACAATTAGCTTGGTCAAGTGAGCTGCAGCTTGCTAATCAATAGGAGTTGAAATGGATGGCAAAGGCATGGCTTTGTTGGACTGTAAATTGTTTGCAAGCTCTCGACAGTGTCTTTGCCGGGGAAACTCTATGCCTTTTATTTGATCTGGTTTTGGTCAGCATCCTGAGCCCCATGGCTAAGTGCACTTTATTTTCTTTAAACAGATGTTTTATCTGTCACACGTAATGCCTATTGGATTAGGTAATTCCAGGTGATCATGTCAGCTTGTCCTACATAATCCTTTACAGGAAAGGCAACCTAATCAGAATTACTGAGTCAATCCAGGAAATGCATTTGTCTTCCTTTCATTGTCATATTTTTGCTGTCATGGAAAATCATTTATCACCATAAACTATGTGCTTGAATCCTTCTGCTGCATGATATATCACGTTAATTTTATATTGGCTAACTCCTGGTTCTTTCACTCTGAAATCAAAAGGGGGGGGCATTCTATTTTATTTTTTTTACAGACAGAAATATAGCCTCCTCAAAGTCCCCCCTCCGAACTGCAGCAAACATTCCTTCCGCAGCCATATGCTGCTGTTGAAATTTACACTGTAGCAGCAATTAATTCATTGTGCTAGGCCAGTGATTTTCATACCCAAAAGCTGTGGGTCTGATGCTTCTGAGAGCTGAGCCAGCCATGGGGGGGGGGGGGCAAACACATTTGCCTAGGGTCCACTCTATTTACTCCTACAAAGTGTAGGATAGGGTGGTTGGGTGGGGATGGAGAATAGAAACACCCTCCTCACCTGCCTTATACAGTGGTACCTCGGGTTACATACGCTTCAAGTTACACACTCTGCTAACCCAGAAATAGTGCTTCAGGTTAAGAACTTTGCTTCAGGATGAGAACAGAAATCGTGCTCCGGCGGCGTGGCGGCAGCAGGAGGCCCCATTAGCTAAAGTGGTGCTTCAGGTTAGGAACAGTTGCAGGTTAAGAACAGACCTCCAGAATGAATTAAGTACTTAAGTACTTACTTGAGAGCCAGTGTGGTGTAGTGGTTAAGAGCGGCAGACTCGTAATCTGGTGAACCGGGTTCACGTCTCTGCTCCTCCACATGCAGCTGCTGGGTGACCTTGAGCTAGTCACACTTCTTTGAAGTCTCTCAGCCCCACTCACCTCACAGAGTGTTTGTTGTGGGGGAGGAAGGGAAAGGAGAATGTTAGCCGCTTTGAGAATCCTTCGGGTAGTGATAAAGCGGGATATCAAATCCAAACTCTTCTTCTTCTTCTCTTAACCCGAGGTACCACTTCCTGTATTAACCTTCCTGTGCTCTGCTGCTTCAAGTCTCTTTTCTCCCAAACCAGCAATGGACTAAGGGAGGTGTGGGGCTGCGAAGTGGGGTTCGGGTCACATCATTCATGCATCCTGTTTTGACAGCATTCGGAGCAGGGAGATGTGTGGTACTGGATGCAGGACAAGCCAGGCAAGAGGAATCAGACAATTGTGCCCTAAGTAGAAGTGTAGTAAAGCAACAATCTCCATTCTGCCCCATGGGCACTGCAGTGAGCGCCGCAGTGAATCTTATTCCCCAAACTACATTTTCTGTCTCACTGTCCATTGTGGCAAAACGATGTCAATTATGCAAGTTGCATAGTCATTATGTTATTCTACCCCGTTCATTTCAGTGCAAAGGAAATGCCGTGCAAAGGACGGTGGGGCTAGCTCAGTTGCTTAGAGCGTGGTGCTGATAACGCCAAGTTTGCAGGTTCGTTCGATCCTTGGATGGGACAGCTGCATATTCCTGCATTTCAGGGCATTGGACTAGATCAGAGCTTTCCAAATTTTTCATGTTGGTGACACACTTTTAACACATGCATCATTTCGCAACCCAGTAATTCAGTTTTGCATCATTTCGTGACACAGTAATTCAGTTTTACGAGCAAACCAGAGGTTAAACTAACCCCTTATAAAAAATACGGACACATATTACATCACAGACCTACACACTGCAGCCGACACACTAACATGTCACGACACACAGTTTAGAAAACTCTACACTAGATGAACCCAAGGGGCCTTTTTAACTCTACAATTACAGTGGTACCTCGCAAGACGAACGCCTCGCAAGACGAAAAACTCGCAAGACGAAAGGTTTTTTCATTTTCGAGTTGCTTCGCAAGACGAATGTCCCTATGGTCTTGCTTCGCAAGACGAAAACGTCTTGCAAGTTTGTTTCCTTTTTCGTAAAACCGTTAAAACCCAGGGTGCATTGCTGGAAGAGGTGCAGTTGCGACTTGACCTCGAGGAGCAACACATTGCACGCGGTGTGGTGGCCTTTCTGAGCTTTTTAAAGAGTTTGCTGGATTTTGAAGCTTTTCCAAAACTTCTTCTGCAGCTGTTTGGTAAGTTAAACTTTTGAAACTTTTTTGGGGTTTTTTGGATTTTGGGTTGGGGTGTTTAGAATTCAAGGACTTGGTGTTGGGGAGGGGTTTGCAAGAATCTGGGAGCTTGTGTGGTTTTTTTTGAATTTTTATGATTTTTTGTGACCATTGGGCCATGTTTTTTTTTTTGAAAAAAATTTCTGGGTTTTAAATTTCTGTGTGCTGGGTGGCTGGGGGAACAGCTGGAGAGGTGTTTGCAAGAATCTGGGAGCTTGTGTGCTTGTTTTTGAATTTTTATGATTTTTTGTGACCATTGGGCCATGTTGTTCTTTTTTGAAAAAAAATTCTGGGTTTTAAATTTCTGTGTGCTGGGTGGATGGGGGAACAGCTGGGGAGGGGTTTGCAAGAATCTGGGAGCTTGTGTGCTTTTTTTTGAATTTTTATGATTTTTTTGTGACCATTGGGCCATGTTGTTGTTTTTTGAAAAAATTTTCTGGGTTTTAAATTTCTGTGTGCTGGGTGGATGGGGGAACAGCTGGGGAGGTGTTTGCAAGAATCTGGGAGCTTGTGTGCTTTTTTTTGAATTTTTATGATTTTTTGTGACCATTGGGCCATGTTGGGTTTTTTTGAAAAAAATTTCTGGGTTTTAAATTTCTGTGTGCTGGGTGGCTGGGGGAACAGCTGGGGAGGGGTTTGCAACAGTTGGGGAGGGGTTTGCAACAGTTGGGGAGGGGCTGGGGGACCAGTTGAGGTTTTTGAAGACTTTGGTGATTTTTAAAGCTTTCCCAAAACTTCTTTTGCAGCCATTTGAGGATTTTGAAGACTTTGGTGATTTGCAGCCATTTCGTAAGTTAAACTTTTAAAACTTTTTTTGGGGTTTTTGGATTTTGGGTTGGGTGTTTGGAATTCAAGGACTTGGTTGTGGGTTTGAAATGCTGATTTTTTTTTTCTTTTTCTGAGTTTACAAAGGTAACAGCTGTGCTGCCATGGGACCCAAGAAGGCTGCTGCTGCGGAGGCCGGCGAGAGGAAGAAGGAGAAGGTGACGCTGGAGATGAAGAAGGAGATCATCCGGAAGCACGACGGTGGAATGCGTGTGACGGACCTCGCCAGGGAGTACGGCAGGAACCCATCGACCATCGGGACCATCCTGAAGATGAGGGAGAAGATCCTTGCGACTGATGCAGCCAAGGGAGTCACCAGGATCGTGAAGAACCGCCCAGCTGTTCTGGAGGAGGTCGAGAAGTTGCTGCTCATCTGGTTAGAAGAGAAGCAGCGTGCAGGGGACACAGTGACTGAGGCCGTCATTTGTGAGAAGGCCAAGGCCTTGCACGCAGACCTCATCCGGGAACAGCCAGGAACCTCGGCCGAGCCAGAAGTCTTCAAGGCAAGCAGAGGCTGGTTTGACCGGTTCAAGGCAAGATCCGGAATCCACAGCGTGGTCAGGCATGGAGAGGCTGCCAGTTCTGATGTTCCTGCGGCTGAAGACTTTGCCTTGGAGTTCCTGGAGGTTGTGAAGACGGAGGGCTACGTTCCACAGCAGGTCTTCAACTGCGACGAGACCGGGCTGTTTTGGAAGAGGATGCCCAAAAGGACTTTCCTCACACAGGAGGAGGCCAAGTTGCCTGGCCACAAGCCCATGAAGGACCGTCTGACCCTGCTCTTCTGTGCCAACGCAAGCGGCGACCTGAAGATCAAGCCCCTGCTGGTGTACCACTCGGAGAACCCACGGGCCTTCAAGAAACACAAGGTCGACAAGGAGCGGCTGAGTGTCATGTGGCGATCCAACAGCAAGGCTTGGGTCACACGTGTGCTGTTTGTGGACTGGGTCAATCTTGCCTTTGGCCCTGCTGTCAAACAGTACCTGCTGGACAACGACCTGCCGCTGAAGGCTTTGCTTCTGATGGACAATGCTCCTGCTCATCCTAAAGGCCTTGAGGTGGACTTGTTGGAGGAGTTCAGCTTCATCAACATCATGTTCCTGCCGCCTAACACCACGCCACTGCTCCAGCCGATGGATCAGCAGGTCATCGCCAATTTCAAGAAACTCTACACCAAGGAGCTTTTCAGGCGATGCTTCGAGGTGACTGATTGCACCACCATCACCCTGCGGGAATTCTGGAAGGACCACTTCGACATCGTCACCTGCTTGAAGATGATCACCACGGCCTGGAACGGGATCAGCCAGAGAAATTTGAATTGCGCTTGGCGCAGCCTGTGGCCGGACTGTGTGGCACCAAGTGACTCTGGTGCATCAGAGTCGACAGTGGTGCAGGACATTGTTGCCTTGGGGAGGACCATGGGCCTGGAGGTCACAGAGGAGGACGTCTGCGAGCTGGTGGAGGAGCACGACCACGAGCTGACCACCCAGGAGCTGGTTGAACTGCAGTCAGAGGTTGCGCAGGAGCAGGCCTCGCTGGAAGAGGAGGAAGCAACTGAGGAACGGCCGTCCTCTAAAGAACTGAGGGACATTTGCCAGAAGTGGAAGGAGGTGCAGGCTTTGCAGAGCGGCACCACCCTATCAAGCACGTGGCACATGACCAAGCGAACACTTTTGATACGACGGTCATGTTGCCTCTCAGGGAGCTGCTGAAAAGGCGGATGAAGCAGCAGACCATGGACAGGTTCCTCAGCAAGAAGCAAAGAGTGGAAGAGGAACCTTCTTCGAGTGGTCCCCCAGAGTCTTAGAAAATGTAATGTACCCTTTTTGATTTTTAAATGTTTTTCCTGTCATGTTTAGAAACTTAATTTATTGTTCCTTCAATTTTTGATATGCTCTTTAAAGTATGTGTGACTTTAAAGAGCAGTTAATAAACTCTTGTTGTACCAAATTTGGCTTTGTTTGGACTTTTTTTGACCATAGGAACGCATTAATTGAATTTCAATGCATTCCTATGGGAAACCGTGCTTTGCAAGACGAAAAATTCGCTAGACGAAAAAACTCGCGGAACGAATTAATTTCGTCTTGCGAGGCACCACTGTATATGGTTCCATGATATCATTCGCAGACTGAAAACAACAACAGTGAATACTGATTGTATTGATGAATTGATTTCTATTCCATACATGAGACAAATAAGAAAACATGGGTGAAATATACTCTTTATTGCAGCTCGTAAAACAGTGAATGAATTTCCCCCCAAAGCTCTGGCTTTGTATACGTTATTTACACGATGGGTCCCGTCTGATTGGCTGATTCTGCATCCTTCCTGAAGCCTGATTGGGCTGCTCCTGCAGGCCAATCAAGCTGTTGCATTCTAGGATCCTACCTGCCTATTGTTCTAGGATCCAAACTTAGTACATAACAATGGGCAATTTCTGCTCCCTGTTTTCGTTGGAATTCTCTGGCATTCCTAATCCTGCTATGGTCCTTCCTCCAGACTTAGTGATCCTCACTGGACTATCTGTAATCTATCAGATCCACTGTTGCAGTTACTGAATCATGTTGGTGAATGGATAGACATTTGCCAGGTAGGAATCATACTGGACTAGTAGGAGGGCCTGGTGCAGATGGTAACCTGGTGTCAGGGACTGGACTGAAGAGGAATGGTGGAGACTGCCCCACCTTCTCCTGAACCTTCCCAAAAGGAGGAGGACAGTATAGATTTACAACGGTGGTTTGCAGAAGGTCATGACTCTGAGACAGAAGAAGGACAAAGGTGGGAGATAATGGAAGAAGGGGAGTGGGGAGCAGCAGTCAGAACAGCTGACTGACAGAACAGCTTTCTCATTAGAAAGCATTCCAGACCCCCCTTCTCCTAGGACCAGGAGGGCAGTGAAAGCAGGAAAGCAGAAAGCGAATACAGTGGTACCTCAAGTTACATACGCTTCAGGTTACAGACTCCGCTAACCCAGAAATAGTGCTTCAGGTTAAGAACTTTGCTTCAGGATGAGAACAGAAATCGTGCTCTGGCGGCGCGGCAGCAGCAGGAGGCCCCATTAGCTAAAGTGGTGCTTCAGGTTAAGAACAGTTTCAGGTTAAGTACAGACCTCCGGTACGAATTAAGTACTTAACCCAAGGTACCACTGTAGACGTAAGGCCTTACACAGCCACCACAAAAGGGGTGGAGCTGCTGACGACTGAGAGTAAAGTGGTGGAGGGGAGATTACTCAGAGCAACGCCATTATCGTAGAGACGGCATCCTGCATCTCTCTCTGTGAATATTGGATAAAATACCTTGGTAAGAGCTTCTTGTATTTCCATTACTGGCAACTTGCTGTGAGGGAGGAGGATCAGATTCCCTGAAGTCTGACATCTGGTTGGATTAAGAAGATTTAGCCTCTCTCAGAGCTGCCTGCCACAGTTATTGCTAGAACATCAACATGAATATCATGCAGAAGCTTGGTCACTGTGCCTTTCCATCTCCCTTCCAAGTTCCCTGTCCGACAACCTTCTAATTTTGAATGTATTTACCTAGTGTTTCTGCTGCCTAGAATCATAGAATCATAGAATCATAGAGTTGGAAGAGACCACAAGGGCCATCGAGTCCAACCCCCTGCCAAGCAGGAAACACCATCAGAGCACTCCTGACATATGGTTGTCAAGCCTCTGCTTAAAGACCTCCAAAGAAGGAGACTCCACCACACTCCTTGGCAGCAAATTCCACTGTCGAACAGCTCTTACTGTCAGGAAGTTCTTCCTAATGTTTAGGTGGAATCTTCTTTCTTGTAGTTTGGATCCATTGCTCCGTGTCCGCTTCTCTGGAGCAGCAGAAAACAACCTTTCTCCCTCCTCTATGTGACATCCTTTTATATATTTGAACATGGCTATCATATCACCCCTTAACCTCTTCTTCTCCAGGCTAAACATGCCCAGCTCCCTTAGCCGTTCCTCATAAGGCATCGTTTCCAGGGCTTTGACCATTTTGGTTGCCCTCCTCTGGACACGTTCCAGTTTGTCAGTGTCCTTCTTGAACTGTGGTGCCCAGAACTGGACACAGTACTCCTAACAGCCTTATTTCCTCAGCTTGCAGAGCGGGTCTTGGGATACACCTTGAATTATTGCATTGCATGCATGCTAGAGCTCCCTTGCCTGGGGGCACCCCAGAAATTAACTTTCATGACAACCCGTGGAACTTTTATGACAATATAACTTTTCCTATATGGGATGTTTGTTCGTTTTATGAGCCACCTGTTTAAAAACAAAACACTTGTTCCTTGTATCTAAAAGCAACAGTGTGTAATTAAATTTTTAAAAAAAAACACCCAGAAAATCAAGCTGTGAGGGCCAGTGCCGGATTTACGCATAAGCTGAATAAAGCTATAGCTTAGGGCCCCATTCTCCTGGAGGCCCCCAAAAAAATTAAAGAAAAAACAAACCTGGATGTACAGTTTCAAAAGATGAGATAAAAAACAAATAAAATAAAACCTACATACAGCAACAGTGTTTTGTGTTGTGGAGGCTCCTATTTGTTATGTGCAAATGGCTTTCGATACCTATTAGGTCCATAAATTACCATATAGCATATATTCAACACATAAAACAGCAACAATTTGTTGTTGACAAAGGACAGCTGGACATATCAAGGGCCCCATCACCTTCAGTAGCTTAGAGCCTCATCAAACCTAAATCTGGCCCTGGTGAGGGCAGCAAAAGGAGTGGATGGCAGGCCTCACTCCTGAAGCTTCACTTCCAAGGGAACATATGGGAGACCATGTCAAGACTGTTCCCCACATCTGTTGTCCGCTCACAGAAGGCTTGTAATTCATCCATCTCTGCATACAGTTGCAAATTTGGAACAGGTCGCCAGTCAAGGGTAACGACTTACCAAAACAAGAGAAGACAAGGAAGCAATCTTGGTGGTTTCCCAGGAAGTATGCTTTGTTTACAACACGCCTTTCCCCCGCTAAGGAAGATGATTTAGTTACGGCTTATCCAGCTGCGGTGTCAGAAGTGTTCAGTTTGATTTAGTAAAGTGAGAGGAGAAAATGCCCATCATTCATTCATACTTTGTTAGCAGCAAGGAGAAACTGGCTGCAGCTATAGGAAGGGCAAAAGGTCGGTGTCCCCCCTGTCCCCCCAGTTGCTATTAATCTGCATGCAGGAGAAATCGAGGCAGTGAAGGAAGATGGTTTGCAACACTACAGGCAAGAGGGAAAATTGAGCAAACTAAATCTGTTTTTTCCCCTTTCCTCAAACCATGTTAATTATAGCAACTTCTAATATTATTCTGTCAATATTGGTGGCCTGAGGGCAAGCAAGGATGGGCAGCCAAAGAGAAGCTCAGCCTAAAGAGCTGGGCCAGAGTCAGCATATAAAATTGGCCTTGTGGGATCCTACTGGTCTCTTGAGTCTCCTGATCTCTGTTGACCTGATAGCTGCAACACCACCCTCTAGCCATCAGAAGTGGTGGTTCTGAAGTATAGCAGAAAACTGGCCAGCAGCATCCCTCTATTGACTATACACCTGGATTTTCCCGGACATTTTGCCGATTTCTGCCTGGACACTGTTTCCGACTGCAGTATTCCGCATATGTCTGGGAAATTGGCAGAATGGGGGATAATGCAGGCTTGCCATGTGTCCAGGAAATTCCAGACATACGACAAGCCTACATTATCCCCCATTCTGCCAACATATAATTCATGATTGAGGTGTCATTTTGAAATGGCTGCCTGGGCTGGCAATTGCATTGAGTGAAAATAATATACAATGTACACGCAAACAATTTTATTTTATTTTTTACTTCATGATAACCAAAGATACATATTTTGGAATGTGGATGGTGTTGTTTGTCTGGTTATGTATGATTATTTTCATAATTTTCTGGTATATTTGGCATTTCTTTTACAGAAGTTTACTGCCTTACTTTTCAAAAAAACTGCATGGGTACAAATTCAATGGCCTAATTTTTCTATCTTTTTTGTGAATCAGTGAGCATTTTTCAAAATGGTTCTTGTGTTCATAATATTATTTTCAACTTTGTTCAGCCTTACATATTCACAGCAATGTTAACAGGAAATTATTTCATTACCAATGAATGAAGCCATGTGTTCACTATCACTCCGATGAGTTTATAAAACTGCTCTGAGTTTTGTTTAAATAAGAATGGTGGGCTACCATCCTTAAAGAATAAAATAATTAGGATAATAAACTGTGAATCATAGTCCATGGAGTAAACATGGAAAGGTCTAGATTGAACTAGCTGGATTAAGATAGGTTGGCGTTGTCAGCAAACTCAACTGTTAAACCCGGGGCTTAAAGAGTATTCAATTTCTTCACATTCTTTATCCACAAAATCTGGCATAAATATATACATATATATGCTCCAGGCTTAAAATGGATTGGGCTTCAATGGCATACTTTTCTCCTCTAAATTCCTGATAACTTTCCCTGAGGAGCAGGGTTCTAATTCCCGTGCCCTCCTTGGAGATATAAGGATATATAAGGATATATAAGAGATATAAGTTAGATGGACTTTGATGAACTTTTGTTGTTTCTGGGAGCTCTCCCAAGTCCCACAATATGTGCAACCAACCAGCTGCTTGGAACTGGCTCTCTCTGTTATCTGAGACCTGCCCCTTGCCACCAGTTGCTACTGGTCCTCTGCTTCGGGTCACTTCATCTCACACCTTGCCAAGTATCCTGAGGACTCAGAGATTGAAAAGGCCAGATAGTGCCATTGCACTCACCCCACTGAGAAAAATGTACACCTGTCTTCAGCCATTGAGTTTTCCTTGCAGGTTTGCCCCAGAGATCATTGGGGTGGATTGAGCAGAGGCGCTTTTTGAGCCAATTATGTTATGGCCAAAGATGTCCCACATTTGCCGAGACTTTCCCTTCTACATAAGGCTGCTGTTGTCCGAAGTGCTCTGTGCAAATCTGTTGTTGTTGTTGTTTAGTCGTTTAGTCGTGTCCAACTCTTCGTTTTTTGTTTTTTTTTTAAGAATAATTTTATATTAACCGACCAATCACATCAAATCAAACCAAATTACATAAATTCCAAATTACACAGCCGAATTTTAAATTTTTGTTGGGGGTACCCATATTTCAAGTTCGAAGGGATCCAATCAACTTCTTGCTTCTTACTGCTGTTTTAATGTCCATAAATCTAACCTTATGATGTTCACAGTACTATCCAGTCCTTTCTTATTATTTTTCCACATCTCTTGTTGTTATTTTCATATATTTTTCCTTTCTCTTTGTGACCTCTGATAGTCTCCGCAAGCTGGTTAGAACAGTTTGTAATCCTGCGTGGATATTATTTTTTTATCCAGTAGCCATATCCAGACGTTTTCCATATAACATCACTTCCATACATCAAAACAGTCTTAGCGTCATTAATCTTCACCAATCTGCCTCCTTTCTCAAAACCTCTGAGGAGGTTCACTAGGAATGCAGTCTGAAAACAAATCCGTTCTTCCTCCCGGCTATAAATCCTTTGGCAAGATGGCGACTCCGAATTAATTGCTGCGCCATTCCCAAAAGCTCTTATTGCTTCTCGGTCTCCATAAAGCATACTTTTGGTTAAAGTTTATCTCCACACAGACCTTAATCATCCTGCTTGGGTCAGTTCAACCGACGGTTCTAATGAGGAGGGGTTCTTGTAAATCACATAGAAGGAAAGTAAAAAGGTCCCTCCCCCCATTCAGCCCCGTTGTCAACATACCCCGCCTTTGGTGTATCTTCATCGTAAAATATTCCTGTTTCTCCAGCCCGTCGTCATCTTTCGCAGAGGTCACTTAAATTAGCAGACTTCACTCCCTTCTTCACTTGAAATATGTGCATTTGCTTCTTTTGTAATTAATTATTCCAAATTGCTGCAACTAGTGCGCGATCAGAGACAGCGTCCAGGAGAGCCGAGGTCCACACAGGGGCATTCTGCCTAGGGCCCTCACCCCCTTCTTTCGAATTAGGGGGTGATTTATGGGCACAGCAGGCAAGGGCAGTGTTCCCCATTTCCTTGGGGCAACAAGGTAGGCTGCCTACTCCCATAATAGCCTCTTAATTACCCCGTGTGGGTCGGAGAGATGGTATTGTCGGCCATCTTCCAATGCGCCCCCTAGTGGCCCCCGTGTCCAACTCTTCGTGACCCCATGGGCCAGAGCACGCCAGGCACTCCTGTCTTCCACTGCCTCCCGCAGTTTGGTCAGACTCATGTTTGTAGCTTCGAGAACACTGTCCAACCATCTCGTCCTATGTTGTCTTTGTCCATGGAGTTTTCTTGGCAGGGATACTGGAGTGGCTTGCCGGTTCCTGCTCCAGGTGGATCACGTTTGGTCAAAACTCTCCACTATGACCTGTCCATCTTGGGTGGCCCTGCACGGCATAGCTCATAGCTTCTCTGCCTCCCGCAGTTTGGTCAAACTCATGCTGGTAGCTTCGAGAACACTATCCAACCATCTCGTCCTCTGTCGTCCCCAACATCAGGGTCTTTTCCAGGGAGTCTTCTCTTCTCATGAGGTGGCCAAAGTACTGGAGCCTCAGCTTCACGATCTGTCCTTCCAGTGAGCACTCAGGGCTGATTTCCTTAAGAATAGATAGGTTTGATCTTCTTGCAGTCCATGGGACTCTTAAGAGTCTCCTCCAGCACCATAATTCAAAAGCATCAATTCTTTGGCGATCAGCCTTCTTTATGGTCCAGCTTTATGGTCCAGCAAATCTGTAGTTTTCTACTAATGCCCTTTGTTTTTTATACATTTCCACTAAACTTTTGCAACTAAAGCATCTGGAAGTTGCTGCCATCGGCAACTGCGCCGACTCTGGATCCGATCCATTAATGCTCTTCTCCCATTCTTAACGGTGGCTGGTCCATGAAGGTTGAAATGTATTGGCAATAAGCTTCAAAGCAGCCTAAAAGGAAATCCTCATTTTGTAGACGTAAGGAAGGATGTAGGTTTATTGAGATGTCAGTCCAGCTCCATTAATGAGCAATAAATGTAGAAATGCGCTGGCCAACTTTCCATTGCAGACTTGCTTTTTCATAATCATGTTAACGTTGACCCCTTTGGTTTACTTCAATCTGTCCTTTAGCATTACCTCCATGCGGACGGGAGCATATGCATACCAAACGGCTGAATCTCACGGAGCATATGATAAAATTCAAAATCACAGTGAGCCTCTTTAATTCAACAGACCCACCATGCTTGATTGGAGGCAAGATTCTAAGTGGTTGTCTCATAATTGCTATACACAGAAGCAATTGGCAATGTAGGAAGCTACCTTAAGTGAGTCTAACTATTGGTCCATCTGTCCAGAATCAGCAGCCAACAGACAAGGCGCTTACCTGACCTGGCAGCCAGGTTGCTGCTGCTTACTGAATGGCGAGGGGGAATGGCGAGGTCAGTGTGATGAAAATGTCTTGGTGGAGCCAATCTGGCACTCCCGCTGGGGTGTTTGCACCATGCTGACCTTGCTACCACCTCACCCTTCCCTGTCTACCTCCTGGTAAACTGCAGAACATGGGCAATGGGAGGTCAGGCGATGCCCTTGCTGACAACTACTGCACAATATTGTTGTTCTCCGTCTAGTAATGCCTGGTTTTTCCCAGCCGTGGTACCGGAGATGCTTTAACTGGAGACACTAGCAGTTGAGCCCAGGGCCGTCTACCTTCTTCTTCTTCTTCTTCTTCTTCTTCTTCTTCTTCTTCTTCTTCTTCTTCTTCCTCTTCTTCCTCTTCTTCCTCTTCTTCATCATCATCTTCTTCCTCTTCCTCTTCCTCTTCCTCTTCCTCTTCCTCTCCCTCTCCCTCTCCCTCTCCCTCTCCTTCTCCTTCTCCTTCTCCTTCTCTCACTTGTAGCCGAGTAAGATTGTCTTCCATATACACGGTTTTAACAGTGAGTCCGTAAGTGACTGTGGAGGCCAATTCTGGATCCACACATCCTTCCACAGTGGGGACATAGGTTTTGGGGTGGGAGATGATCATGGTGAGGGTTTGCCAAACATGCCTAAGCATGTTTCCCCCTTTTGTCTTGAGTTCGAGTGTCTTCAAAGCCCATGACACCTTTGGTAAAGGCTGTTCTCCAACTGGAGCGCTTGCAGGCCAGTGTTTCCCAGTTGTCGGTGTTTATACTACAGGGGTACCTCGGGTTACATATGCTTCAGATTACATACGCTTCAGGTTACACACTCCGCTAACCCAGAAATAGTGCTTCAGGTTAAGAACTTTGCTTCAGGATAAGAACAGAAATCGTGCTCCGGCGGCGTGGCGGCAGCTGGAGGCCCCATTAGCTAAAGTGGTGCTTCAGGTTAAGAACAGTTTCAGGTTAAGAACAGACCTCCGGAACGAATTAAGTACTTAACCCGAGGTACCACTGTACTTTTTTTTTAGATTTGCCTTGAGAGAGTCTTTGAACCTCTTTTGTTGACCACCAGCATTACGCTTTCCGTTTTAAAGTTTTGAATAGAGTAATTGCTTTGGAAGATGATAATCAGGCATCCGAACAACATAAAAAAAGCTAGGTGGTCTACGCACCACTAAGTTGGCATCTGTCTATCTCAGGAGACGATGGAAGAGTGCACCTTCAGGGGAGAAAGTCATACTGTTGGAGAGTTACAGCATCTGTTGTGGCTGGAGAAACAAATACAGGAGAGACATGTTTGGTTGCAGCTGGGACAGACAAAGGTGTCCAGTTGTGCTGCTGCAGAAGTACCATGGGGTCTCTTCTCCCTGCGCTCCTCTTAGTGGTGATTCTTCCTCTGGTCACTGCTATGGATACATGACCTCATTGATTGACTGGATCTAGCACTGGGCATGCCCTATTTAAAGCTAGAGAAATGAGCATGCAATTCAGCATCTTATTAGTAAGGCAGAGGAGAAGGAGCAAAAGGGAGTCTTCATCAAATATGATGCACAAAGGTTGTAGAAACATGAAAGGATAACTGATACCAGGGAGTGAGGGGAGGGATATAGTGACAAGTTGCCGAGGATAATAGACTGGTGCTAATGGGTAGAAAAATACTTTCAGAAGAGATTCCTACATTAGGTTTTATATTTCCCACAGCTGCCCAGTGATATCACACTGATTCATACCGTGAATCAGTGTTAACATTGGTTAACATTGCGGAACACTTAGCAATACCACACCCGCCATTTCCCGAATAGGTATCTTTGTGGATGAATGTCTGGGATAAACCAGTGGAAACTGGTTAAAAAGTGTCAGGAGCAAAGATGATGATAATTGCAAATATGCTGTGCCAACTATATAAGACAGAAGGGAGGCGGGTGGCACTGTCGTCTAAACCACTGAGCCTTTTGGGCTTGCTAATCGGAAGGTCAGAGGTTCAAATCCACTTGATGGGGTGAGCTCCCGTTGCTCTGTCCCAGCTTCTGCCAACCTTGCAGTTTGAAAGCACGGCAGTGCAAATAGATAAATAGGTACCACTGTGGTGGGAAGGTAAACGGCATTTCTGTGTACTCTGGTTTCCATCATAGTGTCCCGTTGTGCCAGAAGCGGTTTAGCCATGCTGGCCAATGATCCAGAAAGCTGTCTGTGGACAAATGCTGGCTCCCTTGTCCTGAAAGTGAGATGAGCGCCATAACCCCATAGTTGCCTTTGACTGGACTTAACCATCCAGGGGTCCTTTACCTTTTACCTTTATGCAGTGCTTTTTTCTGGGGGTACACAGGGGTACACATACCCCTAAACATTTTGTGAATCTTTGTACTTTTTTCCATTTACTGTATTTATTTCCCCCAATTTGAACTATAAAATTGTGATTTTTCTTGAGTCAAAATGAGAGTACCCCTAAACTTTTTTTTTAAGAAAAAACAACACCTTTATATAAGAATGAGGGAAGATTTTATCTGTGGTTCCCACCTCTTTGACCAGTGGATCACAAATCTTTTCAAAGGATGTTTTGGTCAACCCCTTAGGAGTCTTATTAGCTGTTCTAAGGTCCGCTTAGTCTTTTAAGAACTGTTTCTAGCTCTTCAGGTTAGCTAGATAGCATGGTGATGGTTGCATTTGTTGAAACTACATCTGAAAATGGTTAGTAGGAAATGAGGCTACCAGGGACATAGGTCATGGGTACAAGCAGACCACCATCTTTCTCTGCAAATGGTTACCCAGAAAGAGACAAAACAGCATAACATCACTCTGCTTCCAGAGTATTTTGAGACGCAAAGTGTGTAAATGCCATATACAGTACTTAAAGCACATGAGGCCTTGCTCCCAAAAATCCAGAGAACTGTAGTTTTTAAGGGTGCTTGTATTGTAGCTCTCGGAAGGCTAAACTACAGTTCCCGTGATTCTGCTTGCTTTAAGTTTGCTTTAAATGCATAGTGTGCTCGCAGCTGTAGTGTCAAGGAACACAGCAAGCTCTCACTGTCCAAATAGCTGGAAGCTGTTTTCATAAAGAAAAGGGGCAGTTCACCATGTCAGTACTCATATCATTTTGAAATATTTTAAACTATTTAAGAATAGATAAAAATTTACTGGTACTTAAAAGATCCACACACACACCCAGAAAAACCAGGACTGACATAAGACAGAACAGACTAGCCAGTCAACATGTGTGAAATGGACACAACGCAGATCAAGATTATTCTGTCCATTCCTAATTGGAAAGGAACATCATAAATGTTGCTGAAATATTAATAGTGGAGAAAGGGCAGAAATTGACGGATTGATTGTGTAAGTGTGTGCATGTGTGTTTTTGTGCTTTATTCTATTTGCAGAGGTGGAAGGATGTGATGCATTTCCTGTAATGGTTTGAATTAATATCTAGTGGCTTTTTTCTGCATAGTATTTTTTCCCCCCTATTAGTGATCTGAGGAAAGAAATAGCATTTGGAATATATGAAACAACCAGGATATGTGAAACTATTGTGCATTTTATCTGTTTCATTTTGGGCGATTTTTCATAAAAGCAGAAGCAACTGGTGGATTTGTTACAACGTGTAAGGACAGCTGGATAGATGGATAGATAACAATGACATATTTATTAGCAGGAATCCCCATCTTATTGGCCATGTCAGTACTGTCTTAACTCGACTTTATTTATTTGCTAGCAGAAAGTGCCAGTGTTGCCTGAAAATTCTAAGAAACAAAAAATAATAACGAGATGCATAAATGGATGCCATAATTTGTTAGTTTTTTAGGCTGCGCACAGTGGCCCCCCCTATAACCCAGGCCCCCAATGAGACCAAGAGAACACATGGCCCAGATCTGGTCCCAAATGAATCTGGGGATAGGGCTAGTGTTTAATTGGGGCTCATGAAATCCTATACAGTCAGAGGGGGGCTGGGGAAGGAGACACCACATATACCCCCACCCACCTTGTTTTCAGTGCAGCGTGGATCCATCATGTCAAATTGGTTACCAGTATCTTCAGAGGCATCCAAATCAGCACAGTTTAGACTGGTTTGGCCCGCCATCTTGATTCAAAACAGTGTTTTATGGTATCCAAGCCAAGGCCAGAGCTCCATGCTTTCAGGAACCATTGCACCAAACTGAATGGTGATATATTAAGAGACGTCCAGATTGGTGCGGCTTGAACCATCATGCCAGTCTGGTCAAAGTAAAGGTAAAGGGACCCCTGACCATTAGGTCCAGTCGTGACCAACTCTGGTGTTGCGCGCTCATCTTGCTCTATAGGCCGAGGGAGCTGGCGTTTGTCCTCAGACAGCTTCCGGGTCATGTGGCCAGCATGACTAAGCTGCTTCTGGCGAAACAGAGCAGCACACGGAAACACCGTTTACCTTCCCGCCGGAGCGGTACCTATTTATCTACTTGCACTTTGAGGTGCTTTCGAACTGCTAGGTTGGCAGGAGCAGGGACCGAACAACAGGAGCTCACCCCGTCACAAGGTCCAATCAAATTGGGCTATGGTATCTTCAGAAGCATCCAGTCTGCCATCAGAATTCAAAACAGGGTCTGGTGATATGCAAACATGGTCCCAAAATCAGCTCCTCGATCTCAGGAACCGCCACACTGAATTCAGTGATGATATCTCCAGAGGCATCGGTGCAGTTTAGGGTGTTTTGGTACACCATCTTTGATTCAAAATGGCATCCGGCACCCAAGCATAGATGGAAACTGGCTCCTTTGCCTTGGGAACATACACACCAAATTGGGTGACAATATCTCAAGAGTTGTCTGAAACCACAGACAGACAAACCACTTTGCAAAATATATTGTTTGTTGGTTTGTTGGAATGCATTTATGTATTTAAATAATTTATACAGTCGTACCTTGGTTTTCAAACAACTTAGTTCTCAAATGTTTTGGCTCCTGAATGCCACAAACTCACAAGTGACTGTTATGGTTTGCAAAAAAAATTTGGAAGCTGAACATCTGACGGGGCTTCCACAGCTTCCGATTGGCTTCAGGAGCTTCCTGCAGCCAATCAGAAGCCACGCTTTGGTTTCCAAACGTTTAGGGAGTCGAATAGACTTCCGGAACGGATTCCGTTCAACTTGCAAGGTACGATTGTACAGCCATTTTCACCTAAAGGCCACAAAGCATTTTCCTACAATCCTCAAAGACACCATTATTAAAACCAAATACAATTCAAAACTAAATCCATGCAAACAAAGTCATAGTGTCGATGGGCAACTTGGAAATCCCACACAGTCCCCCCCCCCACCTCCACCCCATCTATCATCAAACTTTGAAATGGGCACTGCAATGCTGAGATTAACTGTGCAATAGTGCAAGTGATTCCCGTTGTGGTCCTCACTTCACCTTTTATTTCAGTTTGTGTACATTGTTGGTTTTCAGGCTCTGTCCTTAGGCTCTCTGAGGTTTCTTACATTGAAGTTTAATGGATTTCATCAAAAATTATCAGTAATACTGGGTGACATGGAAGACTGAGAGTTCACACCAGTCAGGAAGCTATACAAAAAGTTTGTTATCTTTATTAAGCAAGAAAAGAACAGGAAAGACCTGACTCCATCCAGATTAAAATTAAGTTCAATGACTAAAGTATGTTATATTATATTATTTACTTATTTCATAAAGTTCATAGACCGCTTGATTGTAAAAAAACAACAAAAAACATTCAAAGCAGATTGCGAAAAATAAAAAAGTAAAATCAAGAAAAATTCGCAACCCTGCTTCAAGATAATAATTCTATTCTATTCTATTCTATTCTATTCTATTCTATTCTATATACATACCTCGCCCATTTGACTGGGTTTCCCCAACCACTCTGGGTGGCTCCCAACAGATTAAAAACAGAATAAAAACCCTGCTGCTAATGAGGGACAGGGGGAATAAATTTTATACAGACACACACACACACACACACACACATTTTTATTGGCTTTTTTAACATATCATTTCCAACAATCTTTTAACATAACTTCTTATCTTATACAATGTTTTAGACTTCCATCAAGAACCTCTGATGATTTTCCGTTCTGTATCACTTATTCTGCATTTCTTAATTTCTCTATTACTCTGAATTATCATTAACTAATAATTTTCTTCATAGTCTTTCTTGCAATATTTCAAATAATCCTCCTTACAGAACTTCTTGCAGTCCTACAAATGTAATCTGTTCATTACCATTGCTTTTCAAATAGTTCATATATTTACTCCAGTCTTCTAAGAATCTCTGGTCCTGTAGGTTTCGAATCCTTCTTGTTAATTTATCTAATTCTGCATAGTCCGTTAATTTCATCTGCAATTCTTCTTTCTTCGGTAATTCTTCTTGCTTCCATTTTTGTGCCAATAATATTCTTGCTGCGGTCACTGCATATAAAAACAACTTACAGTCCTGTCTATTAATATCCTCTCCTACAATGCCAAGTAAAAATGCTTCTGGTTTCTTAATAAATGTATATTTCAACATCTTTTTCATCTCATTATATATCATTTCCCAGATGTTTTTCACTTTTTTACATTCCCACCACATGTGATAGAAAGTTCCTTCCTTTTCTTTACATTTGCAACATTTATTACTTACTTTATACATTTTAGCTAATCTCACAGGGGTGATATACCACCTATACATCATTTTCATCACATTTTCTTTCAAAGCATTGCATGCTGTAAATTTTAATCCTTCTTTCCACAGCTTTTCCCAATCTTTTAATTGTATGTTATACCCAAAATCTTTGGCCCAATGTATTATAACCGACTTCACCTCTTCTGTTAATTCTCTCCCCCCCTTTTCTTTTTATTCAAAATTATAACAAGACATATTATCCAAAAACATATCAGCCTTGTTTCCCCCCCATTTTTCCTCCCTCCCCCTCCCACACAACCCCCCCCCCCCGACTTCCCTCAGTTCCAGTCTTTGGTTTCTCTGAGACTGCTGTTTTCTGCATGTTACAAAGTTGTATAGATCCTCAAACTATTTAGCTGATTATGATCAATAAAAAGTTTGTGAATGTTTATTCAAAACCTGCCAAGGAGTCCAGTTCGCTTTGTTGCGTCTTCAGATACTTTGTAAAGGGTTCCCATTCATCCTTAAAGTCACAGTTATCCTTGTCCTGTAGCTTATATGTCAGTTTTGCCTATTCTCTTAATTCTTAGCAAGGTGGTAGAGGCAACAGGGGGCAGTTCCGTCAGCACTGCATGTACCTGTAGTTGCCGACTGGTCCAGAGCAGATGTGGGCCCCATGATTGCCCCACAGTGGCAGTGGAATAGCATACCTTCCGACATTTCTTTGATGAATATAGGAACATCCTATTCCATACCCTCCAACATTTCTCCCATGAAAATAGGGACAGCCTAAGGGAAAATGGAACATCCTATTATCAAATCAGAAACCAGGATGGCTTCTGTAAATCTGGGACTGGAAAATAGGGACACGTGAAGGGTCTGGAATAAATCTGGCAGTGAATTGCCTCACTTACCTGCTACTGCTGCTTCTGCCTCAACTCCAGCAACTCTGACCATCTTTCCTCATGGTCCTGTTTCTTGCCCCACTACAAACTCTTCTCTCTTCCCTCAGAAACTTGGTCATGGGAGACCCTGTTGCTAAGCGCCTCCTCTGCCACTAAGTCTTTGTGACATCATCAGTGTGACATCCAACAGATGCTAGAAGCTTTGTGGCCACCACAAACCCCACAGCACATTACAGTATTGATTTTGTTGGCAGCCCCAGTGCTTTAATCTCATGTAAATATCCATTAGCTAACAATAAATTCTTGGCCCGTTCATCCCTTCTCCCTAGATAGGGAAATGCTGACATTGCCTTTCTCTTTTTTTAATGGGAACTGAGCCAATATACGGCTCCAGGCTGTGTCAGACTTACAGGGGAAGTAGGTAGTGCCCCATCAAAGCAGATGAGAACAGGACCGCGGACAGCTCCAATGGGTCCTGCCAAGGCAGAAGCAGAAGACCTTGTTTCTGCAGGGAGCTAGAGACAAATGATGGTTTTTTGTAGGCTGGCCAGACCTGGAATGTGGGGACCAAGGTTTCCCAAACTTGGGTCTCCAGCTGTTTTTGGATTATTACTCCCATCATCCCTAGGTAGCAGGAACAGTGGTTAGGGTTGATTGGAATTGCAGTCCAAAAACTGCAGGAGACCCAATTTTGAGAAGCTGTGATGGTGACCTTTGCTTCCTTGTAGTAGCTGGTGCGGTGGTTAAGGGGGCCTTGCCTTATTTTGCAGTCTTCTGCCTGGTTTGGAACATAACAAGGGACTCACCCTCTGAGTCAGTAGATGGTTACATGGCGGTGTCCTCTGGCTGGGAGGGTCTTGAGTTAGGCCCTACCAGATCTCCACCCAAGGAAGAAGACTGAACTTCATCAGATTCCTTCACCATGCACTGCAGCGTCCCCAGATCAACGCTGTGAGACAGAGGGGCGGGGCAGAGCGGCTTATCAGATTCCTATCATGTCTTTCGAGGCTGTACTAGCAAGCATGTTTGTCGCTCCATCCTAGCCAGTTACCTGCTTGGATCAGAGAATTGTAGGATCTGACTCATGAATCTTCTAGTGTGACTTGTTAACCTCATCTTCAGCTGGCCACTAGAGGGGGACAAAGCTCCACACTGAGTGGATCTGCATAGAATGTTCTCATGTACTACTCACAAGTTAAATAAGTCAGTCTGCTGTGAATTGTGTCAGCTCTAAGGAACTTTCCTTTACGCAAGCATAAGATTTCGTTGGCATATTCTTTTTAGAAAAATAGTGGTAAATGGAAACCAAAAGGTCTGCCCTACACAGAATATCCCCGTAAGAGGTCAACTGTTAAATCCTCCATTCCCACAACTATTCCTGCATCATCTCCCGGCCACTCCATTGCTGACTGGTTTCAGGAGAAAGCCATCTGCTGCCACCTAGCAGAGAAATGTCAGAATGGGTCTCAGACTGGTGGACATAGGCTAGAGGTCACCTGGACTTAATCTCCTCCTCAAGGCATCCAGGCTAGACGTAGGTAGTTATGGATAACTAGATTTAATTTGGATTTATTGGGAGCCAGTGGACAGCATTCTGCCTCATAGTGCTAGAACTCAGAACCATACAATGAATGAAGCTGAATGTTTGAATATTCAGGACAGACAAAAATTCTCACAGCAGGTATTTAAAACCATGTCCTAAAATATGCAGTAATGGCCGCCAACTTGGAATGCACAAATTCATGGAGCAAAAGTTCATCAGTGGCTATAAACCTTGCTGGGAATCACAAGTAGGGAGGTAGAACATAGGCATCTGCTCTGTCACTGTGAGTACTGGATACTGAATTAGATGGTCTCCTGGGCTAATCTAGCAAAGCTCTTCTCGTGTTCTAATAGAATCAGTGGCTGTGGCTTGGCTTCTTTGTCCTGGTTTGTTCAGGCTGAACTGCTCATACATTCCTTGAAGCACCAGCTCAGTCTCTGCTGGGTTCACTGTTAGCTTACCTACATCATCACCACCATCACCACCATCACCATCACCACTGATATTGTTATTGTTATTATTTGAATTTATATACTGCCCTATATACTGCTTTATAGGTCAGAACCAGCACTTTGAATTGGGCCCATAAACTAATTGGTAACCAGTGGAGCTGGACCAGGATCGGTGTAATATGCTCAAACCGTCTTGCTCTGGTGAGCAACCTGGCTGCTGAATTCTGCACCAGCTGAAGTTTCCGAACCGCCTTCAGAGACAGTCCTACATATAACGCATTGCAGTCATCTAACCTTGATGTTACCAGAGCATAGACAACAGCACTAAGGCCACCCCTGTCCAGTTAGGGGCGTAGCTGGGCCACCAGCTGAAGCTGATGGAAGGCACTCTGGGCCACTGAGGCCACCTGCTGTTGTGTCTTCACTAGAAGGCGCCCAAGCACTGTGCAACAATTAAATAAAATACAAAATCAACTGCAAAACATTAAAGTTTGGAACTCTGGTTCTATGACAACTCAGCAGAAAAAGTAGCTTGAAATCACAATTAAAACAAAAGCCAGTCAGCAAAGATGGGCCAAAACATGATTGCCTACAAGGGTAGGAGGCAATGTCAACAGCCACACCCAAGCACATAATAAACCGGCAATAAAGCAGATAATGAAGGCGGTGGCAGCAAGATGAGCAGTAAAATGAGAGAGAAACAGAGCTGAGCTCAGTTACTCTCCTGTTGCATCACCGGAGAAAGCCAATGGGATTGGTCAATGGGAATAAACAGAGGATACATTTTCCTTCCCACAGATCCACTGTAAGGTCAAATAGGAGTTGGGAGAGGAAGCTGGGGGTGGGTTGGAATAGTACCAAGCCAGTTCAGCAGGAAAGAAGCCACTTCCACAGATATCTGTAGTAATAACCATGCAGCCTGTGAGATGAAGAGCCATAGCAAAATAGAGTAATTCCAAAAAGTTGGCATAAAACTAGTCTGAGCAATCCCACGTCAGAAGTAGTGGTATCAACACAACACAATTGGGGATGAGTGTTGGGTGCATTGCGAAGAAGCAAGAAGTGATAATACTAGTAAAACAGAAAACAAAACACAAAAAAACAGTAATATGACTCAGCCCCCTGTGTCCAGGATGGGCTTGGCTTGCTCTTTATACTAGGTTCTTTTAAAGGCCTCCAGAATGTGGTGAGTTTATCTTCTTGGCAGATCTGAAGACATTTACAACAGGAGAACATAAACAGGGCATAAGGAAGAAAATAGAGATTTTCAGATGGAATTTTTGTTGGGAGATGTTGAAGGTGTTTGCCTCTTTGAAAATGTGTGTGAGTGTGTGTATGAGAGAGGGAGAAAGGAATTTGTATTTGAGATATATCTCCACTTTCTAAATAAATTTCACTAATAAGAAAGCAAAGGAAGTAAAAGGAAAGCTGGAGTAGGGGGGAGCATGAAGACTAACAGGAGACAACATTAGGCCAGTCACTTCCAAAGGCGGAAAGAAAATCCTGCCTTGAAGTCCACATCCTTTAAAGTTCAAGGAGGCCCACATTGTTGGCCTAGCCTGCCAAAATGCGTCAGCCACTTATTATATGTGAATTGCACTCCAGGGATGGATTGGGGCAGCGCGGGGGGGGAGGGCTAGAGGGAGAAAATATGATTTAGCGAAAGCTCGTACCCAAAACACATCATTGGCCTCTGAACTCTGAACATTTAAATATTTCAAGCTTACAAGCAGGCCCTGTCACGAGAATGGACCCCAGTCCCAAGCCAGTTCCAGAACATCTGCTGAGGCATTTACCAAGTTAATAGATTAGCTATGAAAATCAGGCAGGTGTTTTTCACCAAAGCCAGAAAACATCAAAATCAGATTGCCCTCCAAGTATTTCAGCACAGGCAATTGAGCTGGAATGACTCATAGAGTCTAACAGATAATAAAACACACATAACATTTGCTTTAAGGTACAGGTGGGGATATTTTGTACTCTGCTTAGGAGAAGGGGGGGGAGCCGAACCCTGTTTGGGAACAAGGTAATTGAATACAGATGGGAGGAGGCAAATGAAAGAATTTTGCAAATATCTCAGTGGAATAGCTAATGGGAATGAGACAGAATAGGAAATTAAAAATTATTCGAAGCAGATGGACCATTCTTTGAGTTTTTTTAAAATTTATTAGTGCTGCGGAAAAAAAAGTGTCTGTTTATTTTCCACGGCCATGAAATTAATGACTTGGTGAGTTGTGCTTGTGCAGTTTTATGACTGCCATGTCATTTGTCATAATTTGGGTGCTGTTTGATATGGATTTATGAATGTTTCCTCTCTCTTTCCTCCCCCATCACCCCACCCCAGTGTGATTTATCGGCGTTGGTCATATGTGAATTAGACTGTCACCTTTAGTATACGAAAGTACAAATGACAGATTATAAAAGAGTACTCCAGTCCCGGGTAAATGAGAAGTTGGGGGGGGTGGTGGTTTTGCAGTCACCTCCTCAGCTTAGTTGTCAAGAGTTGTTCTGCTCACCCCCACCCCACCCCACCCCCAATATTTAAAGCCGAGAAGGAAAACTTTGGATTAGACTCGAGCATGTGGAAACATTGAAAGGCCCTGAACAGAACTGAACTCATGTGAACTTCACCTGTGGATATAAACGTGACTTCTTTCTTCGTTCCGTCAGGTCAAAGAGATCCCCCCATGCCACCTGCTACTGCTTGCAGAGGACAAAATGCCAGAGTTGGGGTACATATGCATGGGTAGAGAGATAGAGAGAGAGAGGAATCACTTATCACTAATGTGTTGTTGTTTTTAAACTCTCCCTTCTTCCAAGGAGCTCAGGACAGCACAGATTCAGTTAACTTATTTTATCTTTATGCAACAAGCTCCATGTCTGAGCACTTTGTTGTTGTTTCTTTGGGCACCGCTTGCCCCATGAAAACCCGCTCTTTAACGCTGAATCAGAACAAATGGCAATTTGGGTTTTCTACAAATTGCTGTTTGGTCCCAGGCACAAGGCAGGAAACAGCAGGAATCAAGAATCAGACAAATTTAGTGGTACCTCAAGTTACAAACGCCTCAGGTTACAAATGCTTCTGGTTACAAACTCCACTAACCTGGAAGAGTGACCTCAAGTTGAGAACTTTGCCCCAGGATAAGAATGGAAATCATGTGCGGTGCAGATGGTGCAAGAGGCCCCATTAGCGAAAGCACGCATCTAGTTAAGAACAGTTTCATGTTAAGAAAGGACCTCTGGAATGAATTAAGTTCATAACTAGAGGTACCACTGTACAGTGTATGGGGTTGGAGAACGTTACAACTTTATTGGTTACAGAACATCATATTTTGGCCTGGCCTGGGTCCCTTCAGGCAGCCTGCCTGCTGGCCAGTCTTTGCTCTCCCCACCTGTGTGGACATCCCTGAGAAGGATTTGCCACCACAGTGTGAGGCTGAGATGGTGGGTCCTGCAACAACCTGGGTGTGTGACCTCGATCCATGCCCCACAGGGCATTCTGCATGCCAAGACTGTGTCCTATCACCAAACTGTGGGTATTCTCCTTGCCCATTCTTCCTTTCCCACTACTCTAGAATCCAGTACCATTTCTGCAATTGATGGAGTAACTCCAAGCTATTATGCCTCCAAAATACTGTCTGCTGATGCCAGACAGAATTTGTGGCTCATAAATCAAATCCGATCAAGTCACAACATTTGCATACATATTCTGCTTAAGAGGTATTTACAAATTTTGTTTATAGGCTTTCTTTTTGTTTGGGTCTGTAGAATAGCACCGATCAGCTCTTTCATTCTGTCATCGCCCTTATTTACTCACCCCCCACCCCACCCACCTTTTATAGCATGGATAGCTGGAAATGTTGCTGGCCGCTCATCATCAGAACAGGATAGATGGAGGTGTTTCATTTAGAAGAAACACATTTGGCTGGTCCTGTCTTTGTCAAGAAAGCTCTTTCCTGTTCCAGCGTCAATTAGCGAGTACAGCTTCCACAGAAAGGAATTCATAATATCCCACAGACGGCTTGCAGGACTCCAAAATAATTTCTCTTCTTAAGCTGCAGCTTCAGTTTAGGCTGCTATTAAATTATTAGTGCAGCAAAAAGGAGGGCCAAGCAAGATGAGATGAGGTTGGTTATGTTTGCTTACTCCCATATCTTCCCCATTCAAAATATGAGGGCACCTAATTTTGCACTAGGGACGCGGGTGGCGCTGTGGGTTATCCTCCTAAATTATGCTGTCAGATTAAAGGCAAAAAGGTAAAGGACCCCTAGGGACGTGGGTGGCGCTGTGGGTTAAACCACAGAGCCTAGGGCTTGGCAATCAGAAGGTCGGCGGTTCGAATCCCCGCGACGGGGTGAGCTCCTGTTGCTCGGTCCCTGCTCCTGCCAACCTAGCAGTTTGACAGCACGTCAAAGTGCAAGTAGATAAATAGGTACCGCTCTGGCGGGAAGGTAAACGGCGTTTCTGTGTGCTGCTCTGGTTCGCCAGAAGCGGCTTAGTCATGCTGGCCACATGACCCGGAAGCTGTACGCCGGCTCCCTCGGCCAATAAAGTGAGATGAGCGCCACAACCCCAGAGTCGGTCATGACTGGACCTAATGGTCAGGGGTTCTTTACCTTTAATTTTGCACTAAGGGTAGCTGAACCCCAGCCTTACATTGCTTTGTTCAGGTTGCTTCCAGATGCCTGTGGGGAGGTTAGACAATGTCAACTTACTCATTCCAAAGGAGATTGGGTGACATTGCATCAAACAACTGTTAGCCTGCATTTTCCAGTCCCTTTCCTTATCACAAAAAAGTCCAGTTTTGGGAGAGAAAGTGTGTTTGTTGCCAAAGAGTGCCAGATCAATTTTAATTGCACAACCTGAACTTGCTGGCAGGTGATTGAATCCCACCCAGAAATAGCATCAGCCTGGGATCACCTTCAGTCGCTCCAGGTGTTTTTCTTCCAGCCTGGCTCTCTTCCAATGACAAAGCTGGCCTAAGAGGAAAATGTCTGGGACAATTCAGTGTAGGGAGTTAAAAGACTGAGGAGCAAGAGTGCTCTATACTCTTCTTCACCCACGCAGCCCTTTGATGTAAAGAAACTCAACTCTAACCCCCAGTTTATACAACTACAGAGCGGATATGTGAATAAATCAACATGGCTGCTTTCATCAAATTGTGCTGTGCTGAGACGCCATGTTTTTTGGAGTGGTCAGCATGGCATGAAAATTCCTTCATTGCCCCAATTGTGTGGTATATTAAAACAGGAATAAGAAAGAAGCAGAGGCGCTGGCTTCTCCAGCGAATTGTGGTGCCCAACGCACACATGACATCATGAAGAGCCAGGGAGTGGAGCCAAACACTCTCTTTAAATTGAGGGGGCCCAGTCTCCTCAAGAATTACATTCGGGGGGGCCGAAACTGCCTCAGCCCCCAGGAGTCAGTACCTATAGAGAAAAGCAAGGCAAAGTTGAATGTGAGCAAGCTTCAAGACACAGGCTTAGCGTTAGCTGGCTTTATGGAAAAGGAAGGATTTTGAAGAGGAGAGAAGGTGCACTAATAATAATAATAATAATTATTATTATTATTATTATTATTATTATTATTGTTGTTGTTGTTGTTGTTGTTGTTGTTTATTTATATCCCTCCCTCTCCAGCTGAAGCCGGGCTCAGAGTGGCTAACAACATTAAAATGATACAACATTCTAAAACCATTTCATTATAAAATCAATTCAAATCAGATTAATGGCAACCTTTGGGCTAGAGTTCTGTGTGGATTGCCAGAGGAGGGGGTCAGTCTGTGCCCTGGCCAAAGGCCTGGTGGAACAGCTCTGTGTTGCAGGCCCTGCGGAAAGATGTCAAGTCCCGCAGGGCTCTAGTCTCTCTGGAGCCAAGAGGGAGCTCCAGCGATGGAGAATGAGTAGAATCATGAGTAGAATATTTCATGGAGGGGTTTCAGCATCCAAGAGCAGTTGAGCAACGGTGGGATGAGAATTCCAATACTGAAGCTCCCTTTCACTTTTAAAAAGGTGGTTTCAGTCGTCCCTTTTAGGAAAGCTTTCGTGAACAGCTAAAGTGATGGCGACTCATTTTCATGCTTCTGCTCAACGTTCAGATTCTTTGTGATCATGCTCTCCTGAACGTGATAATGCTGTAATGATGTGGTTTTAAAGCCTATGGAGTGGAGGGGCTGAAAAAAACAAAACACACACTGGAAGAAATTTAAAGACTATTTACAGAAATATTGTAAAATTAAGGAACCTTAGAAGGATGTTGGATAGAAACTAAGAGGTTTTTAGCTGTAATGCTTTAAGAGATATGAAAAAAGGTTTACAATTGGGTAAAAGTTTAATGGTAAGGATTTGCTGAACCAACAAACTGAACTGGAATACAAAAAAGGGAGGTATGAGGAGGTCCGGGGAAATAAGTTTAGGGAAGATAGGTTTGGAAAATTAATGTCTTTTTTAACTGTTTTATTTTGTATGTTTCTTTTTTATTCTTTACTTTTTTGTTATACTTTAAAAAAAACTTTACTCTTTTTTCTGTATTTTGTATTTCTTGTATTTTTTGAAACTTTAATAAATATTATTTTTTTTAAAAAATGAAAAAAACAAAACACAGTGAAACTGATAAAACAAAACAAAAGAAAAGAAAAGAAAAGAAAAGGGGGGTATTGGTAGAAGAAAACTCCAAAACATTTCAAGAAATCCAAGTTAAACTGAAAGAAAATAACATGACTAGAGGGACACAAGCAAAATGATCTTAAGGTGGTAGTCCTAAATTGGCAGGATGGAAGTGAAGCTAGAGGAATGACCTTGCACTGCTCTATCCATTTCTGAGTCAGATTTAAAACACACACAAAATACTTTCCTTCCTTTGACAACAGATTGTTGCTACACTTGATGTTAGCCAAAAGGCAGAGATGGAAAGAAGATAAAGTCCCAACCAGAGAAGAATGGCAGGTTAAGTTGATGGATTATGCCAAAATGGCAAAAATGACCAGAAGAATCAGAAATCAGGAAGACTAAAATTTTAATAAGGAATGGGGAAAATTTATAATATATCTTAAAAATCATTGTAAACAGTTAAAATCATTAGTAGGATTGGAATAACACCTGTAATTTAATGGTGGATTTTTATTTTTTTTTATAAGATATTTATTAAGGTTTTCAGAATATTACAAGACAAAAAAAGAAAAAAAGAAAAAAGAAAAATACAAAATAAAAACAGTTAAAAACAATTCCTTCCTTCCGTTACTTAGCCTTCATTTGCTTATTTCCAGGACCTCCTCACACCTCCCTTTTTTGTATTCCAATTCAGTTATTAGTTCAACAAATCCCTCCCCTCTTTATGTATCCTAATCGTTAATCATAAAGTATTTGTAATTTTAAATTTTTACCTATTAATAAACCATTTTTTTTCATATTCCCTTATAACATTTCGGCTAAAGACCACTTAGTTTCTATCCAACATCATTCTAACATTCATTAATTTTACAATATTTCTGTAAATAATCTTTAAACTTTTTCCAATCTTCCTCCATCGACTCTTCTCCCTGGCCTCGGATTCTGCCAGTCATTTCTGCCAGTTCCATATAGTCCATCACCTTCATCTGCCATTCTTCCAAGGTGGGTAGATCTTGTGTCTTCCAATACTTTGCAATGAGAATTCTTGCTGCTGTAGTAGCATACATAAAAAAAGTTCTGTCCTTCTTTGGCACCAATTGGCCGACTATGCCCAGGAGAAAGGCCTCTGGTTTCTTCAAGAAGGTACATTTAAATACCTTTTTCAATTCGTTATATATCATCATATCAATGGTGGATTTTGGATATAATGGAGATGTAAAAGATTTGGATTACTAAAAAAAGATGCAGGAGGAAATGATTAACAATAGGACCCACAAAGGGGAGAAGTCCAGGAGATTCTTGGGAATCTAGTTTTTATTATGTATGTTGGATATGTGATTGTAAAACTTTAATTTGAAAAACCAAATAAATAAATTTATAAGAAAAGAAAAGAAAACAGTTTGGCCTGTGAGTGCTCCAAATGGAGAACAGTCTTTACCAAAGGTATTATGGGTTTTGAAGACGCTTGAACTCAGGACGAAAGGGAGAAACGTGCTAAGAGGAAGGCACGCTTGACAAACCCTCACCGTGATCAACTCCTGCCCAGAAACCTATGCCCCCCCCATGGAAGGATGTGTGGATCCTGAATTGACCTCCACAGTCACTTACGGACTCACTGTTAAGACCGTGTTCATGGAAGACAATCTTACTCGGCTACGAGTGATCGCCAAAGAAGAAGACAAGGCTGATTCAAGCCCAGCCAGGTATGCCACAAGCCACTGACTCAGGTGGAATGGATGAAGAGAGGCTGCCAGGCCCAAGCCCCCAATAACTAGTGGTTGAGGTGGCAGTGGAGTGAGCATGTGAGAGAGAAACAGAGCCCCATATATTCTAGAATACCAAAATGCTTAATGGATTAATCTTATCTAGAGAATTTAAAATGCTATCTCTTTTGCTAGCCAAAGTTACTTCCCCCCCCCCCCTCAAGGCACAGTTTAGTCCAAGCCTCAGCTGCCTGGTCCCTGCGTTCATGATGAGTCAAACAGCTTGTTCCTGCATGGGAGGGCTGCAGCTAGCAAATGTTTATACCACAGAGGTAGAGCCAGATGGTAGTTCTGGAGGGTTAGAGGGAATGCATCATGTCTACCCAGTGATGGATGGACTGGCGAAAACAAAAAACAGGAAGATGAGGAGGAAAGAGGGGAGGAGGAGGAGAGGAAAGCAGAAAGACCCAAATCTAAACCTCCCTGCAGGGTCATCAACTGAACTTCACAAACTATTGAGAAATCACGGATGTTGTTCATTATCCTAGTTCAAAGTCACAATGTGGTAGTAAATGCGGAGCAGTTTCCTGAAGATGGAAAGCAGAACTGAAGTTCTCAACACACCGTTAGGTGACTATGGATGAAGTGGCTTATTTTTAGATGGGTAGCTTGCCTGAACAGACAGAGCATTCATCAACTTCCCCATACATCAACTGCAGTTCCTATTTTGCCAGTCAATGTCTGTTGGTAATAGCCAGTTGACTGGCTCAAGGCCACACAGTTGAGCTGGGACTTGAACTCAGGCCTGCTAGTGAAAATGGGGCACAATCTGACAGGTAAAGAGTATCAGAACAACATTATGGATTTCTACAAATACCAACCATCCACTTTCATTATCAACTCTATTGACCTTTGTGTATACATATGGCAATTTTACGAGCTTTGGTGTCTTCAGGTCTTCAGTTCTGTGGAAGTAGAGTTGATCCATTACACATTCAAAATTTCTAAAGCAGAACAGGACTGGTCTGACAAACCAGTGCTGAAAACTTCTTCAAGACATCCACAGATGACTACATCCATGATATATGCTAACCTGGCACTCTTAATTTTGGAACATGGGATGTTGCCTTATACCAAGTCAGATCATTGGTCCATCTAGCTGAGAATTGTCTATATGCTGACTGGCAGTGGCTCACCTGGGTTTCAGATGAAGGACATACCCAACCCAATTGCTGGGGATTGAACCAGGAACCTCTTGCAAGCCAAGCAGATGTTCCATCACTGAACTGCACTCCTTCCCTTAATTAACAATAGGTGAACCTCAACTGCAATGACAACCATAGAGCCTGGAGATAGTCAGATCATGTATCCATAGCAGTGACCAGAGGAGCAATGACTACTGGGAGGAGCACAGAGAAGAAACGCCTTGGCGCAGCAGCACAACTGGACACCTTCATTTCCCCCAGTTGCAATGAAACATGTCTTCCCTGTATTGGTCTCTACAGCCACAACAGCTTGACCTCACCCCAAAAGTGCACTCTTCCATTGTCTCCTGAGACAGGTGGATGCCAGCAACAAGAACCTTAACCCTGGCTCAACTTTTAGTTGGGCTTGGAGAAGCAATGCGTCCCCACCCCCCAAAAAGTACAGAATTTTGATTTATTCCAACTATTATTAGTCAAACTGGAGCACAACAGACTCCTATCCAAGTTCCAGCCTTACCTGTGAGCCTGCAAGGCCCTTCCTTCTAGACTCTGGGGTCAGAATGCTCACCTCCTACTTAAGGTATTTATTTTTATTTAGCCAAATATTTACATCTTGCCTTTCTTACACAAAGAAATCCAGGGCAATGAACAATAGCATATTAAAGCAAGCACAAATAATACCAAATCCTAATGCTTACTATTAATAATAGACAGTAAGGTAAAGGTAAAGGAGCCCTGACCATTAGGTCCAGTCGTGACCGACTCTGGGGTTGCGGCGCTCATCCCGCTTTGTTGGCTGAGGGAGCCGCCATACAGCTTCCGGGTCATGTGGCCAGCATGACTAAGCTGCTTCTGGCGAACCAGAGCAGCGCACAGAAACGCCGTTTACCTTCCCGCTGGACTTCCCTACTTGTACTTTGACATGCTTTCGAACTGCTAGGTTGGCAGGAGCTGGGACCGAACAACGGGATCTCACCCCATCACAGGGATTCGAACCGCTGACCTTCTGATCGGCAAGCCCTAGGCTCTGTGGTTTAACCCACGGCACCACCCACATCCCCTAATAATAAACAGTACTGGTCATCAAAGTTCATGATCAAAACTTTGACAACACTGTTATCCTATTTTATTTTATTTTTGTATAATATTTTTATTGACAACTGTCATCCTAAATTTAAGGGGTGTACACTGTGCTGAAGAGGGTCAATGAGGGCAATGCCTTCCTCTGATCATGGGCTTCAAGGCAACGTGATAGACCACAGACCTACCAGCATTCCCAGTTTCAGGATGAGTTAAACAGGGGAACACGATTTAATTCCCAGATGTGTTTTAGTGCCCTGCCTTTACCCCAACAACTCTGCAGCAGTGGTGTGCTTATTGCTTTTAACGCCACACTCTGCTGCAGTGTGTAATGGTGGGCTGCTCTGCAGTGTGCCACAATTTTGGGTGGTCTGCTGATTGAATGCTAATATGTTCCTCCCAAGTTAGTTAATGGGGAACAAGGAAGTTTGCTTCCTGCATCTGGATCGCAGTGATTCCAGCCACCTCCAGCATTTGAAAAGCCAACCTGCTTCTCCCTGGTTACCATATAAAAGGTGTTTGCCAGCGAGACAGGTGTCTAACGGTGGAGGCAATCAGGACACACTGCAAAGGGTAATCATGATTTCCTCTTTTCAGCAGAGCCTGCTGCGGTTGCACGTAGACACTTTGGAAGAGCACGACATCATTAGCCAAAGAAGGAAGCAGGTGTCAGGGACACAACACTCGGGAGGGAGTTGCTCTGGCTGAACTGCAGCCTATGGACCACAATAGCATCCATGAAGCCTTTTTTCCAGATTGGCTGATTGTGGACGTTACACACCGCATTGGCCTGGAACTATGCTATACAGATGGCATTAGCAACTTTAGATAGCCTTTGCTGAATGTTGCTAAAGCTTGCCTTTCTAGATCAAAGGCTGTCCACTTTCTGAATTCTTTCTTTCTTTCTTTCTCTCTCTCTCTCTCTCTCTCTCTCTCTCTCTCTCTCTCTGTGAGCTAGTGTGGTGTAGTGGTTAAGAGCGGTAGCCTCGTAATCTGGGGAACCAGGTTCGCGTCTCCGCTCCTCCACATGCAGCTGCTGGGTGACCTTGGGCCAGTCACACTTCTCTGAAGTCTCTCAGCCCCACTCACCTCACAGAGTGTTTGTTGTGGGGAGGAAGGGAAAGGAGAATGTTAGCCGCTTTGAGACTCCTTAAAGGGAGTGAAAGGCAGGATATCAAATCCAAACTCTTCTTCTTCTTCTTCTTCTTCTTCTTCTTCTTCTTCTCTCTTTCTCTTTCTTTTTTCTTTCTTTCTTTCTTTTCTTCTCTCTCTCTCTCTCTCACACACACACACACAAATATATAAAAATACACAGAGATCCATTTTGCTAAGTTTTCAGATTGATAGGTCATTGTTACAGCTAAGATCTCCCAAATTCTCCAGATGGACTGTGTTGGCTCCCAGGGTCTGTGAAAGTAAATGTTTGTGTTGCTTGCCCTCTACGGTCATCAGTGGATCCTGATTCTGAGATGAGCAGTACTTTTTGCATGTCTCCCTTGGCATGCTGCTGCTATAGGTGCAGAGTTTCTGGTAGCAAGCAAGCCTAGTGGTATCCTCCCACCACATCCATCCAGATTCCCTGTCCAGAACATGCTGAGAAAGGAATGAAATTATTGGCTGAGGGAACTGGTGATGTCCTGCAAAGGAACCAACCAGGATGTCGTTGGACCAATGCAATCCTGGCTGGTTGCTTTGCAGAAGCATTTAGAACTAAGAAGATTAGAGAGGAGTTAACAGTGAGCTGTTCAGAATGGGGACAGCGTCTTAGGTGCCCCTATCTGGACAGGGATAGCCTAACTACTGTTGTCTATGCTCTGGTAACCTCAAGGTTAGATGACTGCAAGGTTCAGAAACTTCAGCTGGTGCAGAATTCAGCAGGCAGGTTGCTCACCGGAGCAAGACGGTTTGAGCATATTACACCGATCCTGGTCCAACTGCACTGGCTACCAGTTAGTTTCCGGGCTGAATTTAAAGTGCTGGTTTTGACCTATAAAGCCTTAAATGGCTCAGGACAGCAATACCTCAAGGACCGCCTCTTTCCATATGAACCTACCTGGACCCTGAGATCATCTTCTGAGGCCCTTCTACATGTGCCTCCTCCTTGAGAGGTCCAGAGGGTGGCAACCCGAGAATGGGTCTTCTCTGTAGTGGCTCCCCATCTGTGGAATGCTCTCCCTAGGGAAGTTCGCCTAGCACCTTCATTATATACCTTTAGGCGCCAGGCAAAAATGTTCCTTTTTAACCAGGTCTCTGGTTGATTAGATTGACATCCTATGCCCTTTTAAAATGTGGTGGTTTTTTGTGAGGGAGGGCAATTGGGTTGTTGTTTTTATTTTTATTATATATTTTGTGGTTTTATATCTTGATTTTATTTTGTGAACCACCCTGACACCCCCGGGTATAGGGTGGTATATAAATTTAATGAGTAATAATAATAATAATAATAATAATGTGCCCAAGAAACTTGAATGATATGAATCACTAGGGCTGTGATCCATCTCTAGTCACACTTTATTCTTCACAGATATTGGCCCATCTAAAGTCAACAGATTTGTGGGGTTGGGTCTGCACTGTAGTTTTGCTACATCCTCTGCATAGCACACACATGACAACTCCCTTGCTGGATTTGGGCATCTGGAACTCAGCTACATTAGTAAAGAAAAAGCGCTTCATATGAGTTATAACACTGTGACACCAGATGGCGCTGTGGACTCCCGTCTGTCACCAAAAGGATTTCCCTTGATGAAGTTTACAACGTGTTTAACTGAATCACTTTTTTGATGTGTCTAGATCCAGCCTGGTTAGGGATAAAGGTAAAAAAGGTAAAGGACCCCTGGGCGGCTAAGTCCAGTCAAAGGCGACTATGGGGTTCTGGCGCTCATCTCACTTTCAGGCCAAGAGAGCCAGCGTTTGTTCACAGACAGCTTTCCCGGTCATGTGACCAGCATGACTAAACTGCTTCTGGCACAACGGAACACTGTGATGGAAACCAGAGTGCACGATAATGCCATTTACCTTCCCACCGCAGTGGTACCTATTTATCTACTTGCACTAGTGTGCTTTCAAACTGCTAGGTTGGCAGGAGCTGGGACAGAGAAGCGGGAGCTCACCTCGTAGCACAGATTCGAACCACCAACCTTCCCATCAGCAAGCCCAAGAGGCTCAGTGCTTTACACCACAGCATCACCCAGGGGGTCAGGGATAATGCTGCAGTGAGACAAGCACAGGCCATGATTTAAGAAAGACAGGTGTGTCCCCCCCCCAAGTCTGAGTTAATAGTTAAGGTTAGTATAATTTATGAAATCATGTCGGTGGAAGGTTAAGGTTGTCTTCCCATTTCCAGGTTCACATTAAGGCTGCAGACAATGCATGCAGACACCTTGACATGCAAGTGACAGAACCATACAGCTTCCCGTGCGAGGCAATGTGATAACAATATTTTACACTCCACTTCAACATTTGTCAGATGTCAGAGAAAGCAGTCTCCTATGTGATGGCCAGAGAGCAGTCGTGGCTGAAATGTTATGTTTGGAGGTGGAAGACTTAGGTAGGAATTCTGTTAAGACTGACCTTTTCGTCTGACACAACCTGTCATACCCCCCCCCCCCTTACAGGCACAGAGCATTTGCAAGATTTCAAAAACTTGCAAGTTTGCTACTGAAAAATGGGCAGAGAACTGAATTCAGTTTAAGGACCTAAGACCTTTGAGAGAGAGAGAGAATGAGAGAGAGAGAGAGAGAGAGAGAGGTGTGAACAAAAAGATAGAAATTGGAGCTGCATCTCTGGGACAGTCAACCTCTTCTTTTCCATTCAGGAGGAAAACGTGTTCCTCAAGTTGCTCCATTCTTTGCCAGGCATGGTCAACCTAGAAAGTCTACTTTTGAGATTAGGCCTGACTTCTTCCTGACGTAAATAGGTACTTCATCAGCTGCCACCAGTTTTTCTCATGTTGTTGTTGTTGTTGTTGTTTAGTTGTTTAGTCGTGTCCGACTCTTTGTGACCCCATGGACCAGAGCACGCCAGGCACTTCTGTCTTCCACTGCCTCCCGCAGTTTGGTCAAACTCATGCTGGTAGCTTCGAGAACACCATCCAACCATCTCGTCTTCTGTCGTCCCCTTCTCCTTGTGCCCTCCGTCTTTCCCAACATCAGGGTCTTTTCCAGGGAGTCTTCTCTTCTCATGAGGTGGCCAAAGTATTGGAGCCTCAGCTTCAGGATCTGCCCTTCCAGTGAGCACTCAGGGCTGATTTCCTTAAGAATGGATAGGTTTGATCTTCTTGCAGTCCAGGGGACTCTCAAGAGTCTCCTCCAGCACCATAATTCAAAAGCATCAATTATTTGGCGATCAGCCTTCTTTATGGTCCAGCTCTCACTTCCATACATCACTACTGGGAAAACCATAGCTTTTACTATACGGACCTTTGTTGGCAAGGTGATGTCTCTACTTTTTAAGATGCTGTCTGGGTTTTTCTCATAGCTCATTACTTACCAGTTGTATACATGGCAGAGAGCATGCCACAGCTTACCTTAGGAGCCTCTATCAAATCCAAACCAAATAGTTCTTTCTCCTTAATAACATTTCAAAGCCATCTTCCTCAGCTTGTGCGTGTACAAGCTGACTTCACAATAGCAGGACACATTGCTTTAAATAGATTTGTGAACCCTATGATGACACAAAGCTCATTTTCTTTCCTGTATTAAAATACTGCCCCTATCCTTACAATGTGGTGTCATTTTGAGTTGTCTGGCATACTTGCAGTGACTTTATCAGGGAGGAAGAGTAAAATGTGGTTTCTTTCTGTCCTGCTGAGCTTTTTAAAAAATACACATACGCACGGACAACTAACAAAATACAGCTGTTCTGTAGTGGCTAAAGGGTTTGGCAGCTGTTTGTAGGGAAAACATGAAAACTTGCAAGGGGTCCCTTTCCTGGATATCTGGAAGTCAGGGGGATGGACAATGGCTCTCCTAAGAAAAACAGCTGGCCTTCAGAAAAGTTAAGTAGCTGAAATATAAAAGGGCCAAATGGTGGGGGAATCTTTCAACATGCCATTAAGAAGAGGCTAGGACAACCTCATATTTCTGTGTCAAACAGGATAGGGTGTTGTACCCAGAGCCAGCCCCAGGTCAGAGGTGTTCCTCAGTAAAGTGCCCTCTGGTGGTCCCCAGCTGCAAGCCATGATGCCCCTGATGTCTTCTTTTTCTTTGGTGATCACTCATAGCCGAGTAAGATTGTCTTTCATAAACAGTTTTAACAGTAAGTCCGTGAGTGACTGTGGAGGCCAATTCAGGATCCACACGTCCTTCCACAGTGGGGACATAGGTTTCTCAGCGGGAGTTGATCATGGTGAGGGTTTGCCAAGTGTGGCTTCTGCTTGGCTCGTTTCTCTCTTTTGTCCTGAATTTGAGCATCTTCAGAACCCATGACACCCTTGGTAAAGGCTGTTCTCCAACTGGAGCGCTCGCAGGCCAGTGTTTCCCAGTTGTCGGTCTTTATACTACATTTTTAAAGATTTGCCTTGAGAGAGTCTTTAAACCTCTTTTGTTGACCACCAGCATTACACTTTCCATTTTTAAGTTCGGAGTAGAGTAGTTGTTTTGGAAGATGATAATCAGGCATCCGCACAACATGACCAGTCCAGCGAAGTTGATGAAAAATCACTGCTTTGACACTGGTGATTTTTGCTTCTTCCAGTACATTGGCATTAGTTAGCCTGTCTTCCCAAGTGATGTGATATAACATTGCTTGGGATGTAGTGGTAAATTTAAGAGGGAGACTCCATTTAAATCTTCCACAATACCCTGGAATGACACTGCATCAGGGTCATTGTGCAATGCCACAGACCCAAGTGCTCATCCCAAGGCTGATAGTAGTGATGGACCCTCCAAGGGTGTTGGGTCTAAGGATGCCAGGTGCTGATGCTTGTTGTGTTAGTCCCTTTATCGGGATCACCAGATTTCTGGAGCCTCAGGTTCTGAGATTCTGTTGAAGGAACCTGGAGGTAGGAGATGATGCACGGAGACTGGAGACAGCTTGATGGAGTAGCGGTAGAGCACATGGGCACCTAGAGCAGGCAAGGGTTGGTGCATGGCATGTCTGGGAGCAACACAGTGTGAACCTGGCAGTTCAGAATGAAGGCTGCCAATCTAGTGGACCAGAGGATCAGTGCCTTGTTTAGCATGAGCCCTGTGGCACCTGACACTGCCTTAGTGTGTCAGTTTTTTCCTCATCCTAATAAATTATCCAAACCCAGAATGAACTTGCTTAAAATATACAGTAATTTCATAGTTCTCAGATTTGCTAATAATTTAGAGACCTAAAGAAAAACCCAACTCAGACAACTAAGTTCTTGCTTTAGCATACCCTAAAGAACGTTTAAGCCTCTGATGCCGATTGTTTTCACAGGTGTTGGCAACATATGAATTAAATGAAGGAAGCATGGATGACTCAGTAGGCCAATGCCGTTTTTCTATCCTGTTCTAACAACTGCAAAGAAGGTATAATTTATGTTGGCTGACAAATCTTGGTAAGTAATGTTCTATTTCATTGGCAGAAAAAGAAGAATATTCCAGATGACTGCTGTGGTCAACATTTTTAGCGCTCGAACCAGGGTTTTGTTTGTGTTTGTGTTTTGTTTTCTTAGGGACTTCTGAGAGCTAAAGTTATAGGTACATTTAAAAAGCCAAAAGGAATATAAGGATTTTGGATATACTGCCATATTGCACTTTCAAGGAACAATGAAGTATGTACCCTCTTATAGCCATAATAGTCCAATTCCTCATCAAAACAAGAAAATCTATATCTTTCCTTTCTCTCTCTTTTTCAGAGTAAATGCTTAATATTTCCAAATTGTCTTGTAACGAAGTTCAAATATAAATGTGAAAAAGTCACAGAGAAGCAGATTTGGAGTTGGAAAGTAGCAAATAACCAAGCATATCCAACATCCCCGGTATTATGGATTTCCAGGTTTCTTAACTGGAGTTGTAAAAGCTTGCCTTCATAACGCAACTTGCACATCTCTCTTCCCACGGCTAATGTTTTAACAGAAATGTAAGGAACCTCTGTTTTCCTTCTGCTGCATATCTGACTAGAGTACAGGAATAGTTGGTGGGGGTGTACATTAACCACAATATTTTGTTTGGACTCCGATTCAGCACTTTGGAAAATAGCCTCCCTCAGCCTTTGTAGACTGTCTGATTCAGCTCAGGATTTGTCCAAGTCTGCTTCGTTTCCACTCATTCACAATTGAGAAGTGAATGAAAGACAGAAGTGAATGAAATTTGCAGACATACTAGCCCTTCCAGAGTGGATGAAGCCTGCCAAATTATAAGTAAATAGATCCAGGGGCACAGACACACACAAAATGTCCATAACTATTAAAATTTGCAGCAGAATTGGATGAGATCTTCAGGCAAGATAGTCCCTTCCAAGGACATGGATCCTGCTAAATCTCAAAAAGGATGGTTGCAATTGCTTCCCCTCAAGGGCAGTAGGCACAGTTCTGGGATCCCCTCATTCTCCATCTCCCATTCACTATTTGGAAATTTTAAAAAATGCTATACGCTTGTGGTGTTTTTTATTTCTGCACATATGAGGTGTGGTAGTAATCTACATTATGCTGTTTAACTTTTCAGAAGGGATCGGTGTGCAATTGCTATGCAATTTTATAATTCAGATACTAACAGTAGTGCACTGAAGTGTATCCTTTTGAATGAGAAGCATAGTGTGCAGTATGCAGTGATGTGCAACCGTTCAAAAACAGCTAAAATAAATAAATGCAAAATTACATTTTGACAAAAAGTGTTCTGAAGATGTGGAAGTGGTGTTTGCAAAGATAGAAGAATCTGCGAAAATGAACTCAGGGTCTCACATATCCTTTCCTGGGAATTAGGAGGCATATAAAACATTTACTCTTATTGTTTTGCAAAGCAGGCTGGGTAGCCTCCCTTAGAGCCCCAGACCTGTTTAGCCTGTTTAGCCTTGGCAGGCTGCAATGTCACGTGTCTCCTGTTGGTGACAAGGAAAAAAATAGGTATATAAAGGAGAATTCCCTGGATGCCAAGATCCTGGTTTGGGGCAAGTACTCTTTGGTGAGAGAACCCCAGCAGAGATTTTAAATCAGAAAACATGCAGCAAAGTGTGGAAATACAGGCTATTAGACCTTTAAAATATGCTCTTCTGAGTTGCAAAAACTTCCCTCTTCCCCTAGCATGGAAAAAAAGACTGCACATTCGGTAAGTTAAAATCATTTACTTACAAACCCTTCAAATGTCAGATTCATGTGCTTTTCCATACAGCATTCAGAAAAAGTTGCTCAGGGAGTAAAAGTTGGCTTAATTACAGTGGTGAAAGTTCCTAAATTATTGCTCTAGGAACTGAAGAGTGGCTTGTAAGAGCCATGTGGTCTGAGCTGCAGCAACCAACTCAGCCCTCCTTGCATATTGAACTTCTCTAGTAAACTGAAGGTGAACAAATGCCTTGATTACCTGCCTCCCAAGGTGGGGAAATGACCTAGCTAAGCCTGGCAGGGCAGCTTACTCTGTGGAATTAACCCATTCATGCATCCATTAGACTTAAGCGTGTTGGCTATATGAGGCCACACCCATGTCATATGCATCCTTCTTGGCTTCTGTAAATCAAAATAGTTTTAAAGCAACACAATAAGTATGTAAATAAATGCCACTGAAATTGGATCTGTAAGAATTTTTAGACCTGTGCTCTCACAGTTTTATAATTGAGTGTCTGTCTGCTGCAAACTCCCCTGAACTCCCCTGACATCTTTCCTAATGCTAGTCCATGCAGGGTCATAGCTGGTTTGTTAACTAACTTCTTATGTTCTTAAGAATCCCTTGGGAAGGGAAACAACTAAAAACGCATTTGGCTGGTGTGAGTGGAACTGGGCCAAATGGTGCTCTTTAAAACCTATCTGGGAAGTTGCTGTTTCTCACCCCTAGACCCATTCCATCAGGATCATTAATTTGATTTCAAGGCTGCATTTCTGCACAGATTTACTTGGGAGTACAGAGCAGTCAATTCAGTGGGATTTGCTTCTGAGTAAACATGCATAGGACTGCACTGTTAATTTTTGTCTGTGTTCAGGAGCAGAAGTCAGTTGAGCCAAATGTGAGCAGTGTTCATTCACACTGTGGTTGGGGTTTTTAAGTCTGCAGACAATACCGTAACTAATGGCATGTTTTGTTGTTGTTGTTTAGTCGTGTCCGACTCTTCGTGACCCCATGGACCAGAGCACGCCAGGCACTCCTGTCTTCCACTGCCCCCCGCAGTTTGGTCAAACTCATGCTGGTAGCTTCGAGAACACTATCCAACCATCTCATCCTCTGTCGTCCCCTTCTCCTTGTGCCCTCCATCTTTCCCAACATCAGGGTCTTTTCCAGGGAGTCTTCTCTTCTCATGAGGTGGCCAAAGTATTGGAGCCTCAGCTTCACGATCTGCCCTTCCAGTGAGCACTCAGGACTGATTTCCTTCAGAATGGAGAGGTTTGATCTTCTTGCAGTCCAGGGGACTCTCAAGAGTCTCCTCCAGCACCATAATTCAAAAGCATCCATTCTTCGGTGATCAGCCTTCTTTATGGTCCAGCTCTCACTTCCATACATCACTACTGGAAAAACCATAGCTTTAACTATACGGACCTTTGTTGGCAAGGTGATGGCATGTTTTAGTACACTGAAATGAATGTAAGTTACGGAAATAGTTACTTACAATTTATGTAAGCTGTGTAAGTATTTATGTAACTTACATTCATTTCAAAGTAAAGAAAATGGCTGACAGAGTGACAAATAATGTAGTATTTGGCAGAAACCAAACTGCAGCAGAACAGAAACAGGACTGATTGCAACAAATACATGTCTGAATGGAAATCTCTGCTTTCTTACACCCCTAGGAACCTGTGCCCCCTGCCCTGGTCAGTTGTTGTTAGGGTACAAATTTCATTGGCTGTGCTGTTGGGAGCTGAAGGCCAACAAAATCTAGAGAGTTACATCTTCCTCACTCCTGCTTTACATGTCAGCTCAGAAATAAGTTAATCTTATAGTGTTCAATAAGGCTTACTTCCAAGTAAGAGATATAAGATTACAGCATTGGCTACTTAATAACATGTCACCATTGTTGGGAATCTAACTAGCAAACCAGTTTCTCTGCCCTCTTCAGAATTGCTCTGAACTTGTTCCAGACCTGACAAGCCTTCAGCCTTAGATTAATATCCAAAAATAATGGTACATGTAATATTGACTTGCTTACAACAGATGAGCCAGACCTCAACTTTTGCCTTTTGGGACTGAAAGCTGTTTGGAAAGTGGGGGGTTCACATTGTAGGGTGGAGGAGACCATGCACCTTTCCTTCTATTTTTAGTTATTACAACTGCACATTTTTTAAAAACTGCAAAGCTGCCGGTTAAATAAATAAAACCTAACAGATTACCCTGCTTTTGATGAGGTACATTTTCAAGCACTTTGGTGTTAATTAATTTCAATCAAGATGCCGTCAGTAATAGAGTTCAGAGGTAGATTTATTGCAAGACTGTGGAAGCCCAGCACTCTTTGAACAATACATAGCTCTCAATCAGGTGTAATAATGGAAAGGAGTGATGTCATAAAATATCAGCCCAACAAGCAGAGCGATGTAAATGGCTGGATCACTCTTGAAACTATATTGTTATAAATCTAACTGCCTTGTGGTTGAGTTATAAGGATAGGAGATTGATAAGCTGTTCTGCTTATAAAAGCGATTTGGGCTGCAATCCAAGACACCGTACCTCAAAAAGGATGTTGAAGAGCTGGAAAAGGAGGTGGAAAGAGTGGCCAAAAGCAACTCCCATATGACAATAAGTTGCAATGTGGGGCTTTTTTTGGTTTAGAAAAAAAAAGTTCGGTTTAGGGGGAAAAAAGGACAAGTGAAATGGGACAATGATAGGTGTGTACAAAATCACACATGATGTAGAGAAAGTGGATAAGGAGAAACTCCCCCTTCCCTCTTCCCACGCTGTCATAAGACTAGACCCAGGAGGCATTTGAGAAGCAACTGCATGTAACATCCCCACCAATGGAGCCCCCTATAAGTGGGGGTGTTTGGGAAGAGAGGACAGGGCTGAGCCTTTGCATGTTCTGTTGCATCCTGAGCTGGCCTTGTGACACCAATGGGCCCAATATGGGCCTCTTTGATGCACCAGCCTTGGAGTCATTTACGTTGTTCTTCCTCTTGGGGTTCAGACGTTTACATCAATAATAATTCTATCACTACCCCGATGAAGTGTTATACAGAGCTCAGTGTGGATCGAGAGCCTATTTCTTGTAATAAATCCGTCCCTCTACACTCATTTACTGATTACATGGCGTATGTCCCTCTTGTAACCCTCTTGGCAAACTTTGTTATCTAAATGGACAGGAGGAAAGACGGCACTTAAAAAAAGAAGAAGCAAAGAATAGGTTAAAATAAGTTGAGCTGTTCACGTACAATCAGTTTAACTTAATTTAATGCAACTGCGGGAAGGGTACTCTGAATTTGATCAGAGGAACAGCAGAGTTAATATGGTGTTTAACCTTTTCCTTCTGGGCCTTCTGTTCCAGAGGTGTCCCCACTGAAGCTTCTTTTCCTGACATGGGGGCAGGAATATATGGGTCTGATTAATGTACCCATACGTGGGAAAGGAGCAGGAGGAGAGAATTTTGACTGGGAAAGAGTTAAGCCCCTCCTCTGATTAAATCCAAAGTTGCCTTTAGCTGTAGGTGTTGTGCCTTTTTTTAAAAAAAACAAGGGAGGTATTTCATTCGCCTCTCATGTCAAAATTAATTTTGTACTCAGAATATTGGCCTGCGTCGTGTCTCTTTTTCAATTTGTTCTTCTGCCTGGCTGATTTGGTGGGATGAAGCGGTTCTTGAGTATGATGGTTGAACAATAACCTACTGCTGTTACAATAACCTACTGTCACAAACACGATTCAGGGACAGCTAAATTCTTCTTTAAAATTATTTCAGCAGAATAAGATTTAACTCTCTCTCATTAAAACCAGCAGGACTTAAAAGTTCGTTTTGCCTAGCTTGTGCCTGGTGCCCCCCAGAATTCGGCACCCGGGTGCCCTGCACCCCTTGCACCGCCGGGTGAAGTCGGCCCGGCTTGTGCCATTTTTGAGGTGAGCATAACTTCTCTTCCCCCAGATATTGGTCGGTACCTTTTAAGTTAGGGGTAGCCAACAAGGGGTGACCTCTGAATGTTTTGGACAAATTCCCATCAGCCCCAGCCAGCATGGCCAATGTTCAGGCCAGAAACTTCTGCGCGGCACCATGTTGGCTGCCCTTGACAAGTAATAAGGTAAAGGGACCCCTAACCATTAGGTCCAGTCGTGACTGACTCTGGGGTTGCGGCGCTCATCTCGCTTTATCGGCTGAAGGAGCCAGCATACAACTTCTGGGTCATGTGGCCAGCATGACTAAGCCGATTCTGGCGAACCAGAGCAGCGCACGGAAATGCCGTTTACCTTCCCACCAGAGCGGTACCTATTTATCTACTTGCACTTTGACGTGCTTTCAAACTGCTAGGTTGG